ATACTAGCGCCTAAACCACATTTAGGATTTTTTCCAAATTGAAGAAACTCCTATCCATTTCGCCTGAGTCGATGCTCCGCGATTTTGAAAACCATTCAATAGTTTTTGGGGGTACTTTACATTAAGCCCCTAGGACATTTTCAAACTTTTCTCAAAAATGGCTCAAATTTTTTTCTTCAAACTTTTCGCAATAATAGTGCTAATTGCACTCTTTAATATGTCTAAAGTTCATTTAGGTGTATTTTTTTGTTTTTTCAAAAATTACACAAATTACACATTTTAGCAAATTCTCTCCTGCCGGTAATATGCACATTTCCAGCAATTTGTAAACGCTGTTATATTTGTGAGTTAAAGTACTTCAAAATTTATTTTCAAAAATGTTTCTAAAACTCAAAAATTTTCTTTGAAAAAGTGCTTCAAATTTCGAATTTACTGTAGCGCTTAAGGACCGTTTTCTTAAAAATTGCTCCAAATTTCTCAAAGATAGTTGCCACTTATGACGAAGTTTTACTGTTTTTTAATATTCTTAAACTAATATTTTCGCTCAACTATTAGGAAACCAGTTTTTTTTATTTCAAAAAGTGTTGTGGTTCTGTGAACACGCGTTTTCCTGCCAATAAAAATATACTATGCTACTACTAAGTGTACGCATCATACTGTAGCTCATCTCGTGTTAAATGGCCTCGTATTATGACGTGTTGACCAGCAACTCTTAACGTTTACGCCGATTACATTCGACACTAATACAGCTTCGTTTTGCTAAATATGGCAAAAAAGGAAATGTTTATATATTTTAATTTATTCTCGAATATAACTTAATATACAGCAGGTCAAGTAGAATTATTTTACTATTTAAGAAAACAATTATGTAAATCTAATGAACGTTGTCCATAGAAATTGAATTTTTCCATGAGGAATTTATTAATTACTCGTTCTTTTTCATGAAAATGTCTAGAACCTGCTGATCTAAATCTTTACAAAATTTACACAACTTAAAAACGAGATCATGAATGCATGCAGAAAGGCTTACTGAAAGAGGAAAATTTGTATTTGGACGGGAAAATAAAAACCAAGGTGATATTGATTGTTCATATATTATTTCACAGTACTACGAATTATTTTCAAAATTACATGTCAAATATTTTCTATTTTCTTCTTATCAATAAAATATTAACATCCCAAATGCCGGAATTCAAATATTTTGTCTTCTTTTTCTTTGCTGAAGTAATTCTGTTCGTGAACTTCAACAAATAGTAAATTCTTACTCTCATAAAACTTTTCAGAACTATTTTCTTCACTTCACAACAACAACTCACAAAATTATTTCTGAGAGATTGTGTAATAGCTGAGCGATATTTTGCTAAGCAATTAATTTTCAAAATTCTGTCACTAAAACAGCTTCACACTTACAGATATTCATAAAAAATGGCAGAACACGCATATACTCGTAAGTTTGAAGTTATTTTGAACATTTTCAAAGCAATATACTTTACTATTGTCTTTATTAGGCTACCACTCAACACGTTTTTGCATTTTTCACAAGATGCAAACCCTTAACTTTAATACAAAACCCAAAACGTACTATTTCACTTTGTTGATTGCATTCACTTCTGCTAAATCCATATTTAATTCCCCCACACATTTCTATTATAGGTGAAGAAATTGTTTTTTAGTAATTGTATGACTGATCGTTCACTTTGAAGAGTTCTGGATCTCAGATCAAGAAAATATCAAGAAACAACACGAATTATGTTTAAATGCTTAACCATTTCTTAAAAATGCAACTTCACAAACAATCACTGTACTTCAACAATGCCCTCTGAAAAGCAAAACGTAAACTTCACTCCAATTTAAGTGCATGATTGTCTATACGTCTGTGGAAACTATTTTAAATGAACAAATATTGCAGGCAATCATAACATTGTTTCATGAATACATTCATAATTTGTTCATAAATTTGGTTAAATTATTTTTAAAAACAATATTTAATAAAAATTATACTATGAGTAATTATTGTGCCCATTCAGTGAACGTAACGTTAATAAAATACTTCTCAAGACCCTGACCAAAACAGAGCAGATCAAATTCTAATAGCGTACAGTACTGTACAGTAAAATAAAATATAAAGAAAGTTACAGTATTTTATTAAAATTTGAACCACTATTATAATTAAAAAATTACAAACACCGTGGTTCATATAAAATTTATCTTTTTCTTCTTTCAAAGGATTTGATCTGAAGAAAGCCCGGATAGCGGGTATTTTGCTAGTGTATAAATATATATAACAAAGTCGGGATAGTTACACTATTTATAACTCACGAACGGCTGGACCAATTTTAATTTTCTCTGATCAGGGTTGCCAGATTGGGCGGAATTCCGCTTTTTGGGCTGGAAAACGCTTTCTCTCGCGGGACAAAAATTGACATCGCGGAATACCCAACGGGCGGAAATGCATCAATATATGTGCGGTTTTGGGCGGGTTTTCAGATTCCGACGAAATGTCAAAAAAAAAAAAAAAAGTCGTTGACAGCTTAATTATTTAGTTGTTTTTTTTTTTACTTTATAGGTGATTTTTCACTAATTTTTTATTAATTCATTCAAACTTACTTCTTAAAGTGAGTAATGTTACAGTTTTTAGACCTCTAGTATATGGAGTGTTCTAAAATTCGTGCCGTCTTTGTTGTGCACAACATGAATATATAATATCAGATTGGCAATGCGTCCAGATAATTTTAGAACAAATCACTTAAAATTAGTCATCTTTTGGAAGTACGGTGTCACTGCCAGCAAATTGTTGCGTTGTTGTTCAACGTGTTTGTGCGATTTCCCAAGAAGATTATCAGAATCGGAACCAGAAACACACACGTTAGAAGAGGCTAGCGACGAAAACCTTGTGGAAGTTGTCAGGTTATTTGCGAAGGTGAACCCTACCAATGAATCTTGCGTTTAATTTTAGATACATTCATCCAAAAACCATTTCAATGTGATAATAAAATGATCTCATTTGAAAATAGTTATTTTATCCCCTTATGTACTCCTCCCATCTACTATAGTCGTAAGACTAACCATAAGTAATTTTTAAGTATTAAGTTTTTACATAAATTATTAATTACACTGGTAACAAACAAAAAATAAAACTAACAGTGTTAACATAATGGGGTATCGAAGACCATGTTCAAATGTTTTGCTCCAATACAACTTCATTGTTTTTCTTCCCATGCTGTCATTACATACACTAATTCATTTAACAATGTGTGTTTGAATGTAAAATACTACATTATCTAAGCCTTAAAAATGTCTTTCTGTTTATTGTAACCATTTATGTCAAACCGTGGCTTCAGTGCAGTGCAGCTGTAAAAGCTCTTTATCACAATATCTGCTTTTAAAAAGTTCTAAAATCACATAAAATTTCTGAAATCACAAAATTCCCCAATTTAAAAAGCAGCTCTAAAACAATTTAGGCACTGTATGTGGTATTTATTAAAGGAATTACTTGTCTTATCACTGATGATGAAGTAGATGTACAAATCAAATCATAATCAAAATGGTAGCAAATTTAGCCAGAGAGAATCTACACATAGAAGAGTGACAAATTCCTTTTTGTGGAGAGTAATATGGTAAGATCAATTGTTACCCAATGACTGTTCTTTAATTATTAATTCGTTAGTATACAATATATCTAATTCAATTTAATCGATTTCATTGAAAACAATAGTCGACTTTCTGACAACCAAAATCAGATATGTGTTCCTTTGCCTGAAGATAGATATTAGTTTTATTCAAGAATGTCTGATCTGGTCAAGCAAGTCTTTAAATTTAGAAGTGAAAAGGTTATTTATGACGTTGAAAATTGTTAATGACTGCGCTGAAAGGGCTGTTAAGTTAAAGCAAGGACTGTTAAGTTAAGTTAAAGGACTGTTGATGAAGAGCGAAAGAAATTTCTGTTGTGTTATTCAAGAACATGGTTCACTGTACCCATATTGCAAGAAGAAAAAAAAAACATAACACAGTCTAAAGAGTGAATATGAATTAAATTGTAATATAAAATTAAATAATAAACATGTATCAGTAGTTTTCCACTGACTTAAACCAATCATCCCTAACATTCACATTTCACATTCAAGTCAGCACAGGTTAATATTGACCTATTCTGATGAAATATATACATACAAAATGTTTGATTTATAAAATTTGAGGTTCTGCAAAGTGCCCCAAATTAATTATTCATTAAATAGAAATAGTTATATAATTTAATAATTATAAATCAAACTTACTAACAATTACTAACAGGATTACCATTAGCTTTGTGTGAATGTAGTGATGACAATAGGAAATAAAAAAATAGAGTTTACATTGATCTTTTATCATTTTTACTAATAATTTTATTACGTTCGTAGAAAAAGTTGTTTACAAAAGTTGATTGGACTAAGAATCAAAGTTCCCAAGTGTTTGCACTCTGTTTTTTGTTTGGTGTTTCAAATATTTTTATAGGAATGCCGTTTTTACTAATAATTTTATTACGTTCGTAAAAATAGTGGTTTACGGAAGTTGATTGAACTACGAATCGAAGTTCCCAAGTGATTGCGCTCTGCTTTTTGTTTGGTGTTTTTTTCCTATTTTTTTATAGGAATGCCGTTCCGCCCGAATCAATTTATCAAAATATCAATAAAATCAAAATTTAAGCGGTGAGCTCCGTAATCCCACCACGAATCTTGATGTTGTTAGGCTTAATAGAAATACCTGCAGTCATTTTCATCAAAGCAAGTTTGTTGACAATTTCAAATAAAGCGCTATAGAGCGAAGGTAAAGTGGAAATATATAGCACGAGAACTTGTTCAGACTCGTGCAGGCACCTGGTGAGCATATTTTGACTTAAAAGGCTGCAAGAACGTGCTGGCATCCAGTGGAGAAAGATTCATTTAAGACGATGTAGGTCGTTTGTAAATCGAACACGTATAACTCGAATCAAGTCGAAAACTGTCATCGAAGATGTTTTTGATAATTTGAGATGAATCATCTACGACGTTGAATGGATGAGTGTATGAGGTGTGTAAAACTAAGCCAGGTTACGTGTGGAATGAATGTGTGAGGATTATATTGAACCAAAAAGACGTTGAATTAAGGGATCACGATGCAGCCAATAATTGAATTTCAGGAATGTCTGCGAGACTCTCCCAAATTTAGGTGAGTTAAATATGAAAAAAAATGTACTTCCTGATGTTATTTAGAGCATGAAAAAATGCAAAGCCTGCGTCAAAAATGTATTTGAACTAAAAACCCTACTAATAATCTCTAATTTTAAAATAGGGTGAATTCCGTTTAGTGTGTTAATTCCATATTTAATATTCCATATATTGCAGATCTAAGTTAGAAGATTGTGAGGCAGATATTGAACAGCTAGAGCAGCGGCTGGATAAGGTATATCTAGTGAATTTTTCGTTCATTGTTTGAGTTGTTATTTTTTATTGTTTTTGAAATGTGCTTATAATTGTTTGGTTCTTGCAGGTGCTGAAAATGTGTGGGCTTATGGTTGATTGTGGAAAGAATTATGTTGCCCAACAAAGGTTAGACCATGCAATAAATTTGAGGGTCAAATGGAAATAGTAAAAGCATGGGTGCAAAGAAATAACTAACCTATATGATTGTTCAGTTGAATGGCACATTTTATTCTCCAAATTTCCACACTGGATCATTTTTATTTACTATTGACTGTGACCCCAATAAATACAGATTTTTATTTATTTAAAATAAAAAAAGAGTTCAGAACTCTGACACACTTTAGGGAAAAGTGAAATTTGTGCACGGTTTGAGCTCTGAGATCTCTGTCCTAACTAATAAAGTTGTTAAGTTGTTTTACTTTCATTTAGTTTTAAAATAAATGTTTGAAGAATTTCTTATTATGATGTTTAGATGATTTGGTTGGTATTATTGCTCCTTTAATGAGAAGTGTTCTTCAATTCAAACCAGATATTTGTTGTAGGATAATTTTTCTTAATGTTTTAAGACAAAAACATGTTTTTCACAAATTCTGCATGAACATTGAAAGAAGTAAATTTTGTGTTATTGAAAACTGATGACAGAACTGCAATAATTACAAGTTCAAGTATTCAGTGTACCACTTGTGACATCTTTTTTGACATCAGATTTTTGTTTTGATACAAATAGTTTGAAGAGAGTGTGTAGTGTGTTCTTCAGTTTTGTAATTTGTTGCTGCTTTATAAAACTGAATTTATTTAATTTCTTTTCAGTTCATTTGCAAATAGCTTGTGGGACCTCAGTACCTATTTTCGATCTGACAGTGATGTTGTGGCCTGTCTTAATAAATTGATCCATGCCTTGCAAGAAATGAACAAATTTCATACTATATTGCTTGATCAAGCTTCACGCACTATTCTAAAAAACCTTACATCATTCATAAAGGGGTAAGTGCAGCACAAATGTTAGTTGTGTAACCTATTTTGTGCTAATCGATTAATTTTTTACCTCCAAAAGTTTGGAATTAAATATAGGAATTTATAATGTAACCAAAATCGAGATTATCAGTGAACCATATTACAAACCATTTTGTAATTAGAAGTTAACAAATACTTTCTGATTTGATATACGATATGTAATTAACACTGAAGTTAATTAATTTTCAGTTATGTCATAAAATACTTTATCCATGTTCAAATAGAATGGGATAATGATATTAACTACCTTAATTCATAAGTTTTGTCTCTTCAAAAATAAGATAGATGCGACCTTCAGGGTCCAGCGACCTGAGATAAAAATCAAATACAAGAACTTCTTGAGCCATTGTATGTATGATTTTTGTTTTTGCCATTGATTCACTTCACCTTTTAACCACAGTTGCAATGTGAACTGAACAGTCAGCTACAAGCTGGTTGGTTTCCATTTAGAGAGTTGTCTGAAGGACATTCTGATTCTCAACCAGCTGACAATAGAAAGTGCATTAAGGTAAAACAGTGGAGGTCTTCTCACACCCAAAAGATTTCTTCAAAGTTTAGTGCATATTTTATATAACTATTGATGTGGTTATTGTGAAAGTTACTTTAAGAATAATAATTTCTAATATACTATTTAGAAGAATATTGTAATCTCTTTCACAGGAGAGAAATCCTATTAAAAAATTAATAGATCATTGCAATGTTGATTGAATATAAATGAAGTACATACATTTCAAATAATAATAGTAGGTATTAGTATAGTAGGTAGTATTGTAGGTAGTAGGTAGTATAATAGTATTGTAGGTAAAGTAAACATTAGCTAATGATTAAATGCCATTTGTATCAAACCCAAACCTTTTGCTAATCTGTGCACTATCTCTTGACCCAAATGTTTGTGTAAATTACTCTCCATTTATGTTTATAGGGATATCAAGCAAGTAAAGGATCAGAGACATTATTTTGAGAAAATATCAGTAGATCTAGATAATGTATTGACCCGAAATTCTCAAGCATTGCGAACAAAACCTGCAGAGGTGGAAGAGGCTCAGAATCTCCTATGTGCCACTCGTTCATGTTTTCGGCACACAGCATTGGATTATGTTCATGCTGTGAGTCTGCTTCAGACTCGCAAGCGCCATGAAGTTCTCAGTACAGTAAGTTTATGTTTGAAAGTTTATCTTTGAACAGTTCATGAGACCTCTTGATTTTCAGGTAATTTCATGTGAATGCATAATTTCCTGAGCAAAGCTGTAGAATTTTCAATAAAACTTTATTTTCCTGACATTCGTATACATAATAAATGGATGCTCTTTTTTGGGGAAAAGCGTTAGGAATTTTATTTTTCAATTTATCCCATCATCTGATTTTTATAGAAAATAGCAATTCATTATTTTTTGTAATTGTTCATTTAATTTAAACTTGATCCATTATGATCCAAAGTCTTCATGTGATGTTTACTTGTGTGCTGTTACCTATTTGGAAATTAACTGTGTTGCATTAGAAAATTAATAAGATTGTTTGTTTTGTTTCAGCTCCTGTCTTATATACATGCTTGCAGTACATTTTTCCATCAAGGTTCTGATTTGTGCCAAGATCTTGATCCTTTTCTAAAGAAATTGGCAGATGAGGTAAAATAGAAATATAGTCTTAATAGTGAAATTGTGTGTTGACTCTTAATTTTAACCAGTAAAATTAGTTCCAAAGTTCTGTAATGTCTTGTAAGTAGTGTGTGATGTGAAAACTTCGGAATTTTACATTATATTATTGTAGTGAAATGATGTTGAAAATGTATTATAAATTTTATGTTAGAGCTATTTTATGTTTTATTTCATTTTAAAATATTTATTATCTCTGCAAACTTGCCAAAATATGTTTTATATTTTTTATTGTGGCAAAGAGAATTTAAGCACCTTCGGAATTGTTTTTAGGTAACAATATGATCACTTATGGCAAACACTGTTACAAGGTCAGGCTGGAAAGAATTTTTCTGTAGTGAGAAGTAAATAATCTTCAGTTTGCAAGTAATTTTTGACTTGAAAAAATGAAACTTGAAATAAAAAATTTTTGTTTTAATTATTATTTTTATGTATTATTGTTGTTTATGAATTATCTACATGAATGCAATCTGTTACTTAGGTGAATTATATGACTTTTTTTAAATTATCAGTGAATCAATATATAATTCTTCATAGATTGTGAGTATGAGGCAAGGAAGTAGCAAATTGGAGAAGGAAATGGAAAATCGCCATTCTTATGTCACAAGTACTGATATAATTCCTCCACCCGCTGCAGATGGCTCTAGTAATATGGAAGGATACTTATTCAAACGAACATCAAATGCGTTTAAGACATGGAATCGACGGTGGTTCATATTACAGGTATTACAACTTTTAAAATACAATCAAACAAAATTAAATTTAATGAGTGAAAAGTTTGTTTGTGCAAGTGCTTCACGAAATCATTATTCACTTTACATCATTTATCCAACAGTTTAGATAGCTCAAATACTTATATTGATTTTCACTTTATTCAGTATGTGTGTCAAACAATTTTGTTTTCTTCCAACAGGAAAACCAGCTAGTATACAGAAAGAGAACTGGAGAACCTACTCCAACGGTTATGGAGGAAGACCTTCGATTGTGCACTGTGAAACCTGTTGTAGATGGAGATCGACGTTACTGCTTTGAAGTGTTATCACCAACAAAGTAAGAATTTGTAACATTGTGCCTTAAAGTGATTTGCCTTCTAGTGTCATTAAAAAGCTTCATCAATTCTAGCCTTGTTTCTAGGGATCCTCGTACTTCGTATTTTTGTTGCTAAATCATCCTAGCCGATCTGGTCATGATATGTATTTTATGTTTTAGAAATTAACTAGAGATTTTGATTATTTGACAATGAAGCTTAAGAAAATATTTAGGACAGTGAGGGAGAATTTAAAGAATAAAGGAAACCATGTTTTTGATTGAATGTAAGGTAATAACTAGTGCAATTTATATAGTGTTGATTCAAACCATATTCATCAAAAGAGCACTCAAAGGAAAGGCCCTTAATGACACAATGCTAAAGTTTTATAAAGTTATGGCTGTGCCTTGCGGACTTTACGGAAGCAAAAACTGAACTAAGAACTCCAGAACACACAGTAGACTTCAAGCAGCTGAGATGAGATTTTAAAGATCAGTCCTGGGAGTAACAAGAATGGACAGATTAAAAAACAGGACCATCCGTAAAAATATAGGAATTTACTACATAAATGAAAAAAGTAAGGAATACAGAGAACAATGGAAAAAACACCTGGAAAGAATGGAAGACGACCGTGTTCCAAAGCAAGTACTTCAGTACATCCCTCAAGGAAGAAGCATTGGTAGACCCAGGAGAAGATGGTTAGATCAAGGAGGCGCAATGGACCAACCGGTCTAATGCTTGAGGGAGAAGAAGACCATAACTACTCAAATGCTCATGCCCTACTTTTCTTCTAAGCAGCCACAATATGTAGCATTTTTGTCAGTGGGGTCTTCACTGGGAGCAGGTTTTGAATCCAGAACAATCTGATAAAACTGCAAATGGTTCACTTCTCCTGTCCTCCCCAAATATCTTCCTCAGCAAATTCTCAATGTTACTCTCTCAAATGATGAGAGACATAGTTGAGGAGATAGATTGTGATTGCATGAAGATCATGCTTTTTCCTGTTCTAAACTACTGCACCCATCTGTAAAAAGCCTTAAACTATCAGTTTTTGTGTGTGTGTGTAAGGTTACTGTTACAGCTACACTTTTTTTAGCTGATCAGTATATCCAATAGAAAAGTTAAAATTCCGGCAACATGAATTTAGTGGTGTTGCAACAGACAAGCAAGGATAATTTCACATTGAAGTTGAACATCCATTACTATCCATTATATTGCTTTATGAATACATACAAAACTACAATATCATTACATAATGTCCATCTTATATGTATCTGTATATATTTTCCCCTACTTTAGTAAAGTTGAACGCACCATTTTATTGAACATTGAGACATTGTAACATCAACATTAAGTTAATAAAGTTGCTGTATTTTATCTCTCTCCCATCCATGTCTCTGTCCAACAATGAAATTATCGGAATAACTTCTCAAATATCCATCGCTTCATTGTATGGCAACACTGCTTATGGTAGACTTAATATGTAACAAATAATGTACTTCAGCTAATGGGTCAATGACCCCCCTCTCGATCCGGTTTTTGTCCAGTTTCACTGATCCATTGAGCAAATGCAGAGATGGCTCCTTGTTTTGCTTCTGGACGTAAATGTAGCTTCACTATTCACTAGTTTTGTTGAACTTTCCTTTTGCTTGATACGGTAAGAGTAGAGGTAACGGTGAGTTACTCTTTTGTTAACAATGCAGAGAAATCATACTTGCAATTCGTGTACTGATGCAAATAAGTTTTCTGTAACTGGGAAACAAAAATGACTATTTTTCAAATATGCTAATCTTACGATTTTTAAAATTTATTTTGGAAATTTAATTATTTATTTATGTTAAACTTTTACTCACCTTTCAACTTTATAGTTAACATGACGGGACACTTTTATAGTTAACATGACGGGAAGGGATTCCGGAACTCAAGAAAACGTGCACAGATAATTTTTCCCCCTATGTCACATACAGTCACAAAAGTTCAAACAAATTATGGTATTCATGGTTTTTAAATGTTTCTTTCATATTACATTTATATCATATTGTTAAGAGAGAAAACCTAGTTGGACTAATTTTAATTAAGATTTGCATATTGCATGGAAGAAAATACATCAATACATTGAGAATACAAATTGTAGAATAAAGTGAAAATTAAATTAAGATTGAGATTATCAATAGTAAGTTATAACTAAAATAACATTAATTATTTTTCATATCCTTTTGATCCATTCCTGTTCACTAAGAATTTTTCCTGTGTCTCATAGTTGGTGGGATACGTGTATATATTTCATTAATTTGAAGCCAAAGTTACTACTAGCTTTTAAAAAAAATTGTACATGAACTTCCTTAATGAACTGATTTTTTTGAACACACATATTGTTGAAGGCAACAATTTTATATCTTCAATTTGATAGTTTTTAAATGTTAAGTTTTAGCAGTAATTGCCTCCATTCTTTTCTAAAATACAGAGAATTCAACAAAAATGAGACCTGCACCATTCTTTTAAGCATTTCTTGTTTTATCTGTGGAGAAAATTTGAAGAAAAAATTCAGAATTGTTTTAGAGAAAATATTTTTTAATTTAGAAAATGTATAGATTCAAGCACAAATGACACAAAAACTACTACTACTTTTAGAGTAGTTTATAGATTGTCTGGACAAATAGTTATTGATTTTAAGTATTCTTGATATTATAGATAATCATAGAAACAGGAATTAATACAAGGAAGATGAACACAGGTTGTAATAAAATGCACATACATGTGCAGTTCAGGCATTTATGTTTCATTTTCGAACTGTGGTACAGCATTTCTTGATTTTTTATGTTGCTTCTTCAGACAATGTCTGTGGAATAAGAATTTTTAACTGGATTAAATATTAAAGTAAAACTTAAGAACAATATTTTACAATGAACCGATATTCTATGCCTGATTAATATTGGGAACCTTATTTGTCATGATAAATAATACTATTAACTCAATGTTAGAGAGTAATATATTTACCAAGGCATATGATCGCATCTTAAATAAAATCGTTTAACAATTTCAGCCCAAGTTTTACATAATTTGCTCTTTTGTTTTTTCCTTGTGTCTCGATATTAAATGTCATTGTTAAAATCTTACCTTTTGACTCTGTGTTGCCATTTTCATCCCAGTTATTATTGGTAATTTTCTGTTTTTTCTCTTTCCTCAATCATTCCCCACTTGCCTCCTGCCCCCCCCCCCCCTTGGTTTCCTTTTTCCTCACCCCACTCCTCATGGGTATCTGTTCAATTGAAAGCCCCTCATACTGACCCCGACTTCATCATTTTATCATAGCCACTAGTGCCACGTAGGCCATAGTTGACGAAGACCTCTGGTCCTCTATTTTAGTTAAAGCTGAGACAATGGCTCACCTCAGCTTATTTAAGACGGTCTGCACATAATAAGTGCATAATATTTTATTAACTTTCATTAACGTTTTATAAACTAATTTTTGTGGCAATGGAACAAGATGAGCCTCAAACCCTCACTGTACTTTGTACTTATTGGTATTTGTTAATTTTGGTTCTTATCTTTCACTTTAGTTAAAAATCTAGTTAAAAATCCTTGTTTCATAGACAGTGCTTGAAGAAGTGAAACGAAAAGTCAGAAAATGTTGTACCACACATCAAGAATGAAATATAAATATATGTGTTTTTTATTACTACCTGTGTTCATCTGCCTTTCATTAATTCCTGCTTTTATCAATGATTGTCTGTAATACCAAGAATACTTAAAATCAATACTGTTAGTTTTTTTGTTTTTTTTTCCTCCAAAAAATATTACATGACCTTTTTTTTAAAGAGCTAATTTTTTTAGAACAGATTTTGTGTAAGACAAAAATCTCAATCTTCAATTTTCTAATTTTTGAATTTAAAAATTTTGCAGTTTTCAAAAATACATAGTTCTTAGGAAATAAAAATAACATCACTTGTTTTTTACGGTCCTTTCCAACATACAAAGATAAATTTTAAAAAATACTTTTGGTGTCTTTCTTTACCTTTTTACTTCAGAAAAAATTGTTTTAAAAAAATTTCCTATATTAAAAAGAAATTCAAAAGCTATTCAAATTTTCAAGAAATTGAACATGACCTTATTTTAAGATGTCTTTAAACAACAGATTTTGTTAAGGAAAAAAAACTACAATATTTTAGTTGCAGGAAGACACTGAAAAAAAATTGAACTTTTGCAATTTTCGACAAAATTCAATCAAAATATTTGGACCCATTTGTTTGTAAATTTTGTAACTACCCCAAAAATTAAAATTTTAATTTCAAATTAATGGCACCATGTCATCAGCCAGATTGATTGGGGAATATTAATTTTGGAGAAAATTTACTGAATGGTTTAGGAGTAAATGTTGACTACAGAGAGACATTTTGCTGTCATTCAATTTTTTGGTATCAATGACTCACAAAACTGGATTCTGACTACACAACATGTTACAGGAAGTAATTTGCTAAATATATGGAGATAGATTAAAATTTGGCCAAAAAAACCTTTAAGAGTTTTTCTGTCAAAAATTGGCCGCTTTAGCTACAATACTTTCTCTACGCTGCATAAGCAGTAGCGAGAAAGTGAGAGTAAATGAAGTAAATGATAAAATACGATTTGTACCAACCATGAATAAAGACATACTAATACAATATGAATCAATGTTTTTTCAAGCTACATTTAAGTAAGGATAGAATGTGATTCAAAACCATTTATCAAAATCAATCATCCATGAATGGACATAATACGATTTGAAATCACTCTCTTCAATTATTTTGATTAGTACCTCTTACAGATACTAAGCAGAAACTAGTTGCTAAACTAAGCTAAAACTAGCAGGAGCAGAAATTAGTTGAATTTATATTAGAGAGAGGACCTTTATTGAGAGAAGTATTTCAGAAACATGTTCATTGTTAATATTATTAAACAAATGTATAGATGATGTACCATTTTATGTTTCTATAATTTTACATTTGGGGGGGGGGAGGGCTTACACCCCTCTCTGGATCTGCCCTGGTAATTTGGTGAAATGAACGAGTTAAAAATTATTGATGAGTTATTTCTTGCTCTTTTCATTTGCAACAAAAAATGGAAAACGACTAGTGGCCTGTATTAGCAAAAATTCATGAATAAAACAACACAAAATGATTTTCCAAACAGTAGTACATACTCTCAGGAACAAGTAATAAAATTCTCATACAACATTCCAACAAATTAAATATTTTGACTATGACAGTCTTCATGAAGACTGCAATAACATAATATAGTATACTCAAATACAACCTACAACAGTTGTTTATGAACCTACCAAGAATATCAAAAAGTTGCTGTTCCAAAATGCAACATATGAATAGCAAACATTAAATGGTGGGTGTCCTCTTTCTAGGAACCTTACTGTCATGTGACATTAGCGGTGTCAGAAGTAGTAATACATAATAAAATTTTTCAAAAACAGTGATTTCTGTGAGGACATACAGTACAAATATAGGCATAATAACACAATCAAATATTTACATTTTTCAATCAAAATCAAAACTGCTTCATTGTTTTTGGATTTTCCCCCCAAGTTTCTGGGTGTTAAACAAAACCACAGAAACCTTTCACAGTACCACATGCTGCTTAGTTTTCTTTCAGTTTCTCCATGCATTGGAAATTAGTAATATATACGTGATTGGGTACTCTTCCTTTGATCTCTGTGAACCAAGGAACATACCAAATGAATTAAAGTAGATATCTAGGATCAACATTGTTGAAAGAAAATAAACCCTATTAGAGAAATCAGATGTGATAAGGTCTATGAGGCTCATTTGTATGAGCTTAATAAGCATATGTTCATACAATTTTTTACTTCAGGAGCCACATGCTGCAGGCTGATTCAGACGAAATGTTCCAAGCGTGGATAGCAGCCATGCAGCATGGCATTGGTGCTGCCATTCAGCAAAGTTTGAGTGATGAGGGTGGCATAAACCAGCACTCAACTGGAGGATCTCCGAGTGGCAAAAATTCCCAAGGGGGCTCACATCCACCCAGCTGTAGTTCAGGAGAAACAGGAGAAGTCCATGCATCACCTGACAAACAACGCAAATCCAAGTAAGTAGAGTTGTGCATTTCTGTGTGTCTTGAAAAGTTGGACAGTGGAAAATTTTTGTAAGTTGGATAATGGATGGAGCAAAGGACATGAAAAATATCTGACTGTTAAATTGAAAATGAGAGCTCAACAAGTTAACTGAATGGGAATTTGGTAATGGCATTTTGAAGTGAAATAATTGATAGTATGTAGAAAGGAGCACCTTTATCTAGTATTGAATATTTTCAGAGATAATTTTTCATTTTTTTTAATTTTTAAAAGGTAATATGAAGATTCACTATCTCTGATCTTAACATTTGCCCATGATGTAATTAAACATTTGGGCACACTAAAAACAAATCTTCTAATTCTAAACACTATTTACAGGAAACAATAATTTGTATGTTGTTATATTCATCAACTGCAGGTAAAAAAAGTACAGAGAGCCAACATTAGAAATAGCAAAATTTATGACATTTAAATTTTTATGTATACATTCTTTTCAATTATTGAACATTTTTAAATAGGTTACTAAAATTGGTTATATTATTATCATTATTATTATTATTTATTGAAAAATTGTGTTGTAAATAAAAAATTATCCTTTAATAAAATTAAAGTAAATGAGTGAAACAAATATGAAAGGTTTAAATTCAGTACTATTTTTTTGTACAATCATATGTGTGTTTCAGAATTTGGGAGCAGTTACTCAAAATTCCAGGAAATAACAAATGCTGTGATTGTGAAAGCCCAAATCCACAGTGGGCAAGTATAAATCTAGGCATTACGTTATGTATAGGTAAGCAATTTTTCTCCCTGATTGTTTATTATGTTTTGTTGTTCTTTATTAACCCTTGCAATACCACTGTATAAATGGTCCCGTGCTTTATCAAGGGCTCTGGAGCCCACTGCTTCAATTTTGACTTTCTTGTTGTTTTTCATTAATGCATGAATTGATATAACTAATAACAATTTACACATGCATTCCTTTAAACAAAAAACATTGTTCAATTTCTGGCTCTCCAATTGAAAAAAATGAATTTCTTGCATGAATATTTCTATGTAATGACAAAACCTATTCTATTTTTATGTTGAATAGTGTCAGATAACCTTCATAACATAATAATGTATTACACTATGTTATTCTAAGACTCAAAAACCTACAAACATTTCCAAAATAGCATGTATATATTCAATTTTTATGTATAATTGTGAATATTTTATCCTCTGACTAATATATATAATATTATACAGATATATAATATTATTACAGATACTGTAATAACACAAATTATAACTAACACATGTGATAAATTGCATTGTATTTTGAACAAAAAGCATTTCAGAAACAATATCAATGATTTTCAATTTTCTAAAAAAACATTGAAACTATAAAAACAAGCAAACAGTCATCAGCGGGCCTCTTTAGGTTCCTGCGGTTGTGCTAGGGGTTACAGACAGGATTTGTAGGTTTAAACCTGTAACTTTTGATGACTGATTTCATGATTGGGCTCAGTTGATCATTTCCACTACAATTGAGACACCATTAAATTTCTTTTAATTGTATAAAATGACAATTGGTTTTAATGGTGATGGTTCTGATCTATTACAAAAACAATTAGGTAAACTTCCCTTATTTGAAATTAGGAAAAATAGTTTTTTCCCGAAAGGGGGCGATCTGATGCAAGTAGTAGTGCATTTGAAATGTAATACCAAGTAAAGAAAAAAAGTGTTATAAAATTCATGACTGCCAAGTAATTGTGACAATTTTATGATGATCTCCAGGTATGTAGCCAAAAGCAAAGCAAAAAAATTCTGGGGAAAAAGTGACCTCTTGAAGTAAATGTGAAGAATTAGAAGTAGCCAACCCAACAACAAGAACTTATCAAATTTCAAGCTGACAGCTAAGTAGGATCTCTTTCTTGTAGAAGTACAACATACAATTCCAGAAATTATAATTCTAACTGTAACTCTGTTACATGAAAGTATCACAGAATTACTATGATATAATCTCTACCATAGAGACAGTGGCATTAGAGGGGAGGGGTCATAATGTACATGACAAATGAAATGAAAAACTTAAATTACTTCTCTTGAAGAGTTTGAAGGTTCAATAAAAATGCAGCTCTGAGTGCTCCGAATTGACTCACAATCTCATTGTGTGACATCAAAGTTTAATTATTTTAGGGCTGATGATGACAGTATTAAAACGGGAAAACAAGAACTTAATGAACGAACTGTGTATTCTAATGGGAATATTGATGAAGAATTCAATGATTTTGTGGATAAGCTAACATACATACTATTTAAAACAAATGTTGGTAAACCTTTAATAAACAAAGAACCAAAGAAATTACTAGGAAAAAACAACATTTTTGAGTTAAGCATAGGGACAAAAATGAACATGATTATTAGGGATCTGATTTTTAGGTGATGCACCTAGAGACAAAGCTCATTACGAGCTTTCATTTTTTACTTCTAACATGTTATGTAATAGAAAGCTTTTCAGAGACTTGCCTTGCGCCTAATTTGCACCTAAATCACCCCACTGCACCTAAATAGACCTTATTTCTCCCCTATTTCCGAATCTTTGCAAAAACTCTTACTTTGAATGTGCACATTACATGAACACATAGTGTTTAAGTAAGTAAAGTTCATTCAAACAATATTTGTGCAAGTCATGCATTTGTTTTGTTACACTTTGCCCCAAAGTAACCTGCCTCTACTTTTAACCTCAGGATAACAAAAGCAAAGGACACACATTTTCATTCATACCCACCAGTTGTGAATAATGTGTGTTTTTGAAAACTTAACAGTACTTATGCTTGAAGATGACGATTAACTTCGTCGAAATGATGGACTAATAACAAAAGTTGAATATATATATTTTTATAAATTAAGTTTGTTCAAATAATTGGTTGTCTCGGCCGGGATTCGAACTCAGGCCTTCTGGTTTACACCCATCTGCTCTAACCACTAAGCTACCGAGACAACCAATCCTTCGAACAGTTTTCATGAGCGTGATTATTGCTTCTTGTATATATATATAATTGTCACCATCCCGTCACCTTATTAGATGCAATTACACTCAGAGAATATATTCCGCAATGACAATTATAGGAAAAGCTGAAAAAACTTTTGCACAATTCCATTTTGTAAAGAAATTCTTGTGTGTTCACTTCTTCAAATTCTTTTGTGTATCTAAAAACTAACTACAGAGGGGTAACTGCCTGCCCTTGAACTGTGGTGAATTTTCTCAGAAGCAAAGAAGAACATAGAAGGATTTGCTCTTCAAAAATAGAAAGCTGTTTGGCCAATATTCAGATATTTTAATGGTTACAAGCGCTGATGATTTTCTATTAGAAGAAAGGATTGTTACAAAGGTGTTAGAATTGCTCCCACTAGTGTCAGAGGATGTAGAAAGATATTTTTCTGCCTATTCAAACTTTCTGAAAGACAAGAGTTAAAATTTTGATTTTCTTAAAATTTGGAATTGGAATTCAATATAATATATTTTTTAAGGCTCAGAGAACATTGATGATGTGAACATGTTTCAAAAAATATAGTTTGTAGGTAACATGTATTTTCCTTCGACATTTCATGTGCATTTGTCATGTTATGATATAAAATCATGTATTTATATTTGCACTAATTTTTTTTTTTCCCCCACCTAAACATCCACCTATTTTTAATATTTTTTTGCGCTTATTGTAGCACCTAAATTAGGAAATGTTTGCCTCCTACACGTCCGGCCTCCAATGATTATGATATATGTAGATCACATTAAAATGGACTAATTGTGTACACCAGAAACAAGAAAAAAAATGAAGATAATATAATTTCGTTGCCAACAAATTTTGTCAAGAGTGACTTATTGGGAATTTCAAAAACCCGACAGATAAAAGATTACAAACCCTATGAGTGTTGTAAAGCTATTTTTAAGAGTTTCAGGAAGTTTATTCAACTGAATCAACAAAAAAACTTAATTATTTGATGGTAATGAATTTTAGAAGATCAGCATAGGGAAGAAAAACAAGATGCAGGTAGTATGCAATGAATAACTACTCTGCATACTCTGCATTGATGAGATAATAAACAATAAGTTGACAAACCTCAGCAAGGAAAGTGAATCAAGACAAGTGAAGGAAATATCTTTAAGTGAAAGTCATATAAAAAACAACAATTCTTGGAATGCCTAAGTTTTGGTGTTTATTAAGCTTTTCTTGGGGCACTTTAATTATAACATATTCCTTGTCTAGCAACCATATTCACCCCCTTTACTACATATAATCCTTACAATTTGCACTTCTTTTCACATAGCCTCATGTTAGCATCAACCCTAGTAAAGATCATGCATGACTTGACTGTCCATGCACATTATTCACTATAAAGTGTGATCTCCACAAAAAAAAAAAAAAATTGTAAATCTTGTGGTGTATACATACAAGAGTGAGCTGATAGTGATTGCTAGATAATGGATGCTTTGCAAATAATGTGCAGCTTAACATAAGCTTAATAAAATCCGAAATGCTTGTCTATTAAGAATTGTTGTTTTCTTTCAACAACCTGCACTCAAGATATTTTCTATTTGAGGTCAAGAAAACTTGCCTTTCTAGTAACTGGCCAACACTTCATTTTACAAAAGAATAAATCTGTATAATATGTATTGATTGAAACTATTCTGTAAACCTATAATATACTCTTTAAGACACTTGTTACCACTATGGTTCATCAAAATAATAGTTATTTAAGAGATAAGTTTGATATGTATGTCATAATGAAATGAGTATAAAATTTGTACCATGAAGTGTATGATATATTTGACTTATTTATAATTAGCAAAGGTCGATCACTGCATCACTGCATCAATTGATGTCTCTGAGGTCCTAGGTTTGCTTTCCAATGGTGGCAGGATTTTTGACACTAACTGGATAGTAAGATCGAATTCAGTCACATTCTGGAGGAAAATTTTAGTGTCTGGCTGCTCGGATCGGTAGTTTTCCGTGGTTTCTACAACCAACACCAGTCAAATGCTAGAGCAGAAGCCTAACAAACGGGCTATGGACCGTGCGTGATCTTTCGTTCCTCTTGCTTGTCCTACTCTCACCCCTTACTTACACACTAAAGAATATAACAGTAACAGAATAATAGTATAATATAATAACAAAGAATAATGAGTATAATAATAATAATAATGTATGTAGTGAAGTAAATAGTGTATGTCAATAATATATCTTTCAGTACTTTATCCACGCACTTTCAGATTGTTTTATTTCATTTTATAATAAATTAATCAACAGCTAGACACTGAATGTGTTCATTTCAGTAATAATGACTTTCGTTTTGTTTTTGTTTCTTTTATTTTGCAAAAGCATGAAGCAAAAGAATATACAAACAGTAAACACTTGATACCAGTGCTAGAGCTAGACAATTTTGGGCCCGGGCCAATGCTGAAACATTTTGAAGTTGTATCAAGAAACTGAGTTATTTTATTTTAACAAATAACAAAAATTAATTTAAACTAGAAAAAAGTTAGGCAATATATTTTAAATAATAGTTTTAAGTAAAAGTATTTAGTGATCAAATAATACAATTTCAATGGTGATCTTAAAAAGCAAAAAAAAAAATTATTTAGTTAGTGTTTAATAAAATTACTTATTAAATATATGAAATAATAAATATAAATTTCAGTAAAACATATTTTAATGTTGGCGTCATTTGATTCATTTCATAGTCCTACCTTATAAGTAACTAGCAGAACTCAGCAGACTTTGTGCTCGCTCCCTCTCTCCCCTCCTTATACTTTTTCTCTCTCCCCCTCTCTTTCTTCTTCTCATTCTCTCTCTTTCCTCTTTCTCTTCCCTCTTCCTCTTTTTCCCTATCTCACTTTCCTCCCCTCCCATTCTCTCTCTTGTTCCCTCTCTCTAACAGACCCAGACATACCTCCTGGTATCCTTTTCTTCCTCTTTTCCCTCTTTTTCTTTCCCCCTCTTGCTCTCTTCTCCCTCTCTTTTTAATATGCACATTTCCAGCAATTGTTAACACTAATGTATATGTGAGTTAAAATGCTTCAAGTGACTTCTAATGAAGTTTTTCGAAACTCAAAAATTTTTTGTGAAGAAGTGCTTCAAATTTTGAATTTACTATAGCACTGAAAGAGCCATCTGCTTAAAAACAGCTTCAAATTTTTCGACGAAAATTACCATTCATGATGAAGTTTTACTTTTCTTTAATATTCTTGAAATAATATTTCCGTTCTACTATTGGGAAACCGATAAATTAAGTTGTTGTTGTTGTTGTTGTTTTTTTTGTGCTGCAGTAAATGGCAGTGGCAAGAGTATGTGACAAGTTTGTATAGCTAGATGAGATCAAAGGAAATAGAAAACGAATACAGGAAAGTCTGTGCCATTCTGTAGCACCACTAGTTCCCTCTCTCTCTTTTTTCCCCCCACTCTTTCCCCTCTCAGTCTGTCTCGTTCCCCTTCTCTTTTCTTCTCTTCGCCACGCTCTCTTTCCCCATCTTTCTTTTCCCTCTCTTCTCTCTATCCCTCACCACCTGCTCCTCCTGTTCTCCTCATCCTCGACCCAGCATCGCCCAGTAACATTGAAGCCCAAATGGATTGAGAATTGCATTTAATTGAAGCGTGATCTTGTGGTGTTATGACAAAATGAACATCATAAAAATCTTCTCCATGAAAAAACACATAGATATGACATCTTTCGTAGAGATCAGTCAAACGGTGTGAGTTCATTGATCAGTTACATACCAACATCCATTTTATAAATACAGATGACTATAACACCTTTAAAGTAAAAAAATAATTGAAAATTTTATGAAATATTAGGTTTCTGTACTGTGATTTATACAATTATGATAATTATTTTCTTGAGTTCTGATTTCATCAATTTTTTAAATATTTTTTCCCCATCAGTCTCATCTTGACCGGCAGGGCCCTGGACAATCACCCAGACTGCCTTTTCCTAGCCCCTTCATTACTGCTTAATACAGGTTTCACTACTTAATACATGTTTCACTGCTTTTCACTGCAGTTTTTAAGGTTTAACCAATGAGGTAATTCTTCGTAAAGGACCCTAAGTAATTTTTTATTTACTTCATCAAAGTACTTCATTTCTGGTTAAATGGGAAGGAATAATCATGACAATTACAAAGAAATTAAAACAAACTGATGGTTCATGAATGCGTAGCAATCAAATATACAAACAGATTAATTGTGAACAGATGAGTTCCATTTGGCTAGAATCATTTTAAAAAATTCTTGAAATGTAGCTATTAAAACTGACACTATCATGAATGAAGAATGAAAGAATAAAAATGTTTACACATATGTCATTTTTAATTACTTCAATTACCATTCATGCCAAATACAAACAATGTGTTTGTTCACAAAAACATAACAATTAAATGTAAAAACAGATCAATTGTGAATAATTGAATTCCATTTGGCTAGAATTGTTCAAAAAACAAACTTGAAATGGAATCTTTAAAACTGCTACCATCTTGAAACAGAATGAAGGAAAAAATATGTTCACACCTACATCATTTTAATTACTTTAAGGAACATTCATGCCAAAATCAAAAGAAAAAAATCAACAAAGGGTGTTGTTGACACTACATGACAAAGTAATTTAGAGACAGATTAAATGCCAAATGGTTTAATTAAAACAGGTCATGTACTGCGCAGTAGCTAAATTTGGAGGCTATTATTCAGTTTGTCTCGTCTTCAGGGTTTGCTCAAAATAAGCATCTTACTCTTTTAATTGATGATCTGTTTAATACTAATCTGAGTTGCAGTTCTAAAAAGAATGGAAATATTATTTTTCCAAAATAAGAATTTAAATTATCATTCTATTTTTTGCAGGATGTTCTGGGGTTCATCGCAGCCTTGGAGTACACTATAGTAAAGTTCGTTCCCTCACTCTGGATGCATGGGAGCCTGAAATCTTGAAAGTTATGGCAGAACTGGGCAATAATATTGTCAACAATGTTTATGAAGCCAATGTTACTTCTGATTTTGCTCGGGCTACACCAAAATGCCATGGGTAAGTTGTAGATAGTTTTGAAGACTGCATTGTAGTAAAGCAATATTTCCATGGTATAATGTATTTTATAGTTTCTCTATAGTAAAATTTAAACTGACCATTATTTCCCAAATTGTGTAGGTTATTTATTGCAGAGAACCTTGTCTATACAATTTTACTCACTCTCTTTACATATTTTGTTCATAAGATTGGGGGTTACTTAATATTGGAATTGTAAAAATAGGTGTCTAATTAGTCAATTGCACAAGATGGTTCGACTAGTAAGTCTTCAGTGATCACTGATCAGCTAGTGCTTCCTTAAGAAGACAGAAAAGAAGGGTCTTGCCAAAGTACCTCTTATACTTACTAAGTGGAAGTGGGAATCACAGGCACAAGGTGAAAAGAGACCCCACATCTTACTACTTCACTTTTCAAGACCTCTTTTGCCTTATTTCATCACTTGCTTGACTAAGTTCAATTTATATTTGATCCACCCTTATTTAACGTATTGTAAAATTGCAGTGTTTAGTAGTACTATTATATTTTGGTGAACAGTCCAATGAGGGTCTGTTAAACTTAATTAGGTTTTCAAGAATAGATCACAAATTACAGTGATAATTCACATTTTATGTTTGTGTTTACGCAACTCATTTTGTGTAATTAGTGATATCTGCTATAAAATGGTTGCTCGTTGTTGGCAAAGTGGTTTCCCAAGCAAAATTAAAAGATACTAGTATGCAGAAGCTCACTTCCAAATCCAAGGAGTCAGTGACCTTGTATGTGTTTGCTATTCATTTCTCTGTATGACTATAAAAGAAATAATATATATATATATATATATATATATATTAATATATATATAAATATATATATATATAATATATATATATAGTATAATTATATATATATATATAATAATATATCTAATATATATATATATATATATATATATATATATTACCTCTGTACATTTTATACATTCTACACTTTTAAAAATAATTCAAAAAATATATTCCAATTTTCTTTGAAGCATCTTCCAACCACATCATTTTAATTTCAACAGTGGTCTTAGATCCTTTCTGATTCGCTCCTGGCCAACCAAACATTGTAATTGTAGTATTATTAATTCTGCTTCTATGTGAACAGTGATTGCTTGTGGAAATTCCAATGTAACAAAATAATTTATAACATTTGTGGTAACTAATTTCTAATGATGGTTCCCACTATTATGAAATGGGAGTAAATTGAATGAAAGGTGCTGAAACAGCTGTGTCTAGACATTAGTTGACTCCAGGTGCCTCCAAAACTTATTGTAATCATCTTTGATTGCAAATCATGCAGAGTCCACTGTGTTCTGCAATGAAAAAATCATCAGTTGCAGATTGTCACCTTCAAGGTTCCAATCTTATCCTGTGGAGTTTTTTTGCGAGTATATTCTGAGGTTTAAGTGCGTAGGAACCATCACACCATAGAGAAAGTCTGCAAAAATATAACAAATAAATTGTTCCTTATAATTCTGTAAATATTTTATTATTATTATTATTATTATTATTATTATTATTATTATTATTATTATTATTATTATTGTTGTTGTTGTTGTTGTTGTTGTTGTTGTTATTATTATTATTTATCTTCCTTCCTTATAGATTGTTAAAAGTTGTGTGTGTGTGTAAATAATTGATGAATAATGGTGAATAAATAATGGTATCTAACAGCTGACTTGCAAACAATTAGAATGAAATTGCTCCAAGAAGATTGCAAAAAGATTTGGCTCTGTAACACATTTCTCATTGCTTTAACTTTTTCAATTATTAAGCAATTCAGATGAAATAAAGAATTATTTGCTATTATCTTATACTTTTGAAACATTACATTTCCTTAAGAAATGTGAAATATGAGTTTACTATTATTTATTCCCAAACACCTCATATCATATAAAGCAGAAATTCTTGAATATACCATTATTCATCTTAACATACTTATTCTCCTTGATTGTCCCCATAGATCGAGTAATAAGCTTTCATTTTTACATGTGTCTCAGTTATGCAATCCTCAAAGCCTCAACAAATCATACTCAATCTTCTTTTCGGTATTTGGTCAATTCCAGAGTTTAGTCCGTTTGAATTATTATGTTGATTTATATCACATGTTATGGCCTGTCACACACCTGCCTACAAGTTCAAATATTATCTGTGTGATGTTTGACTTTAAGTTAACTTATATTATTTTTCATAGAAACATTCGTGAAGCTTGGATAAAAGCAAAATACATAGAAAAGCAATTTACAAAACCATTAGCAATACCTGCAATTACGATAACTGGCACTGAGGTACCACAAGGAACTGAATCCCCAGGGCAACGTGCATCTCGATCAAACTACCTCTCTGTGCGCAAATGGAGTGTGCGCAAGATTCGGCAGCGGTCTCGAGATAATAGAAATCGATCTACATCAGCTGGCAAGAAAGTTTCACCTAGAAGACGTCTCCCAATGCCATCTGAATCGCTTAGATCTAAGATTGATGAAAAATCAAACAAAGATATATCCAAAGAGGAGGTTGGTGATATTAGTATTAATGATAAATACTTTCTGCAGCAAATAATAATACGTATATACACCTTACAGTTTAGATGATTGTATTGTTTATTTTAGTATTTTTAATCATCCAGCATTTTTACTTTGCTCGATAATTATGGATTATTATTTTCTTAACTTTTAAAATATTGTTTTAATAATTATTTGGTAGGTGGAGACTAAAGAAGAAAATATCACCAAAGAAATATCCGATACAGATAGCATTGTAAAAGTGGAAACAGAATCAGAACCACCTTCTCCTGCAGCAAGCAAGAAAAGTAGTTCAGGATCGGTTTCTGATTCATCACTGAACTGTGAAGTACTTATTTTTGGAAAAAGTCTTGAGAAACAGCCTATGGAGGGATCTATAGAACTTAGTAGTGATGAAGACTCCACAGGAGGAGAGGATGATGAACATATAGGTAAAATTTATTACACTTTTTTTTGTTGCTGATAATTTTATTAATAATTTTGTATGCACACAGAAACGGAGATGTAACTAAGCAGCCTAAGGTCATATGAGAGGTGTCATTGGTTTCATTAGATTGCCTGCATCTTGGCAAAAATTCAAAAACAATGAAACGAATATTGTTTTTGAAAAATGCAAATATTTGATTGTGCTATTCTGCCTATCTTTATGTCACTACTTCTTAGTAGGGAAGAGAGCTCTCATTGTGACAGCAATGCTGAAAAAAAGGCCACCCCCCATTAAATGTTTATTGACGCATTGCATTACTGAACAACTTTTTTTATTTTTTGGCATGTGTGGAACTGTTGTACTGTGTATCTGAATATACTTCACGATGTCATATTGTTTTCATAAAATATTTCATAAGAGAATGTATATTGTTGCAAGAGAGTATTTTATTTGTGGTTCTTGAGCAGTGTGTATGCTACTTTTTAAAAAAACATTTTTGTGTGGCATTTTGTTCAGCAGAAATTTTGCTGCTTCAGGCCATTACTTCTCTTTATTTTGCATATTCATATGCTCAAATCCTTGTGATTATGTTGATTAGTTATCAATGATTACTTATTTACATTGAAGTTGATTATTTTGTTAGTGCTGAGCATTATCTATTTCTTTTTTCTTCTGTTTAATATTATGTTTTTCTTTATAAATAATTTTATAGGAGAAGAAGATATTTCCAAGTTACATCCTGATTTGCTGTTGTACAAAGCAGCTCGTGCACACAATCTTCCTGTCATGTGTGAAGCATTAGCCTGGGGTGCTGACAAGAATTGGTGTCATGAAGAAGACAAAAATCGTTCTGCAATACATCAAGCCATTCTTAGTGTAAGGAAAAAAATGTCAGGCAGTTTCAGTATTAAAAGAGAAACATATTTTGAATAAAGGCAAGTTTATTAAATGAAGTTATTATTAATTTTCTTGTTTCTTGTCTGTTAGGGATCAGTTATGGCATGTGAATACTTGTTGCTAAATGGTGCCAAAATCAATGCTCAAGACAGCCTTGGTAAAACACCTCTTCATTTAGCCACAGAACTAGGTGAGTAATTTTTAATTGTCATTGGAGAATGATTGCAATGTAGTAAAACAGCAATGTATGTACATGTATATATATTGAGTTTTTCAAAAATATGTAATAAAAAATTTAAAAGATGTAAAATATAAAAAAAAGGATAATGGTGTTTAAAATTGCACTATAAAAGCCTTTATAAATTTTCAAACTAAAAAAGGTGCTTATCAAATCTTAAAATTGATATGGAGCTCCTGAAAGAACATTCTATCATTATAGAAGTAATTGAACACAATCCTTTGCCTCACAGTAAGAGTTTTGTATGAAATATAAAATACGAGAAGCCAATATATCTGCCGTGAACTGTGTTGTTGTAAAGGCAGTGATGGAATAGAGTACCTCGTATCAATTGCATCGCAAGCCAAAGGAGAATTTCCATTAGGCGCAAAAGGCCAGGAGGTGGGATTTCATGAATAGGTACAGGATTTCCTTCCCTAAAATGGGTGTGTTTCTCAGCTGGAAAAAAAAGAAAGAAAGCATGTTTAGACAATGTCTGAAAAGTTTGTCAGATTTCTATCGAGATGCGTGAAGACAGTAAAACAGGGGGAACGCACGTAGTAGCGATCACTTCTGCTCTGCCTATATCCTTCCATCCTTGATTCAGAGTACGCAAGTTCCGAGAAGCAGGGGTAAGAATTTGACAATTTGCGGTGAAGGTCTGAAGGTCAGTGAAGCAGTTGTAATTTTACACATGTGCAAACCTGGTGGCCATCAGAGGCATCGCTCTCTAAGGGAACCTCAAAATATTCAATACAAGAAATAGGCCCTTCAAAAAGTATATTACGAATTTTACTTTCCCACCTACTTCATAAGTAATAGAGAGAAATACTTGTAAAGCTGTGGTGAAAAACAGATTTTTCAACAGAAAAACTTGCCTTGTCGGTCCCTGGTAACAAAAAAGGAAATAAATCATGTTTCTGTATGTACTAACTTACTTCTCCGAACACATGTAGATGTTTCCAAATCCACGTTTTTCTGTTTGTGTATTGGGTGGGAATTGTGAATCCTTGATAACAAAAAATGGATTGATGGCAGAATTTCTTTCTTTCTACTTATTTGTATTATTATTATTATTATTATTATTATTATTATTATTATTATTATTATTATTATTATTATTATTCTATGACAAAGGGTGGTAAAAATATAGTGCTGGTCCCATTTTCACAAGCAGCACACATTGTGAAATCAAACTCTTTGTATTTTCAAAAAATGAACATTACAAAAATACAGTGGATGATGGAGATTGTGATATATTTGAATAGATTGAGATTTTTGTTTTAAATTAAATCTGTTCTAAAAATTAGATCTTTAAATAACAGCATGTACAATTTTTTTGAAAAACAAGTAATGCTCATATAATTTCTTCTTAAAGTTACTCAATTTATAAACTAAAATTTCAATTAAGGCTCCAAATTGTTTTCTAAAATAGAGTAAAGGACACATAAAAATTGGCCCAAGCCTCACTTTTGTTGAAATTTCTCAATTTTCAAAAACTGCTATGTTAAAAACAATACGAGAAATTATGTGCTGTTGGAGCACCATTAGTTTTTACCAAAGATGCTGAGAACAGTGGTAGTTGTAGCAACACGAGTATGCAAAACCTTTAAGACATGATTTCTCTTTTGATTCTTAATTGTGGCAGTATATGTAAAAGTGCAGGATGCCGCCAAATGTTGTAGTCAAGCTTATCTTGAGGCACCATTCAAGATGGTGGAAAATAACAATATTGACACAATTATCTCTGAAATCCCAGGTCCAATCTTTTTGCTTTTCATTGTAAGTGAAAGACTGTAATGTGATCTTTAAGAAATGTGCTTACATACTTTTTGATATCTTGTACGGTTTTTGAGTTAGAAATGTTTGAAATTTGAGTTAGAGTGCAATGAAGTGAAAAGTTGCCATGGAGTTGTAAAAAAATAGTCATTTGAAGCAAATTTTGGAAGTGACTCACAATACCAACCCAGATTTTGATGCAGTTTTGTATGCCAAGTTCCGTATATCTCAAAGGAACTTCCGTGGAGTTGTAGCATTATGTGTGAAGTAGTTTTTGAAATGCAGCTTTTGTTCGACCGAATTGTCATATAGTAAGGTCATTAGACTCTCTTCTCTGTTACTGTTAAACAAATGAAACTGAGCTTGTTTGTGCAACATTTTTTGCTATGTTCAGTGGAACTAATACTAATTTTTCCTTTATGTTTTTCATTAATGTATTTTTCATTTCACAGTGGGTATATTACAGCACAATACAAGCTCCACCTTTCTTGGTCTAGCTCTGAAGTTCTTTATTTTTTAGTAATAATGCAGATGCAATTTATATTGATTTATTATTCAAAGAAAAAAATCTTTATATGTGTGTATGTATGAAAAATATCTCGTGTGTGGGTATATGGGGGACCTCATTTGCGAATCCGCCAGGGACCTCAGAGGTTGTGAAACCGAGTCTGCAGAGAAGCGCTGTAGCAATGTATTACATTGCTTTTATTTCACAGAAAGCTGATTTTAGGAATATGTATTTGCAAACTCATATCTTAATTAATCTGATTTGACTTGTAAATATATTGAAATATGCGAAATCACCAAGTGTAACCAAATATGTAGTAATGGGTAAAACATGTAAAAAATGTAATTTTAATATTTTTGAAATTCATTCAAAATTTCATCCAAATTCTAAAAAAAAAAAAAAATGAAATGCCAGTACTTTGAACTTGTAAAAATGCTTGATGTGAAATTCCATTCCCTAATTAACATCACAAGGATAATAGATATAAGAGGATTAACATTAAGTGGAGACATGTAAAAAATATATTAACTATATTATATATAAATATATATAATGTATATTATATATATTATATATTAAGTATATTTATTATATATATATACTATATATTTTTAATTTCCCTTTTATGTATTTGTTTAATATTGCATTTGTGTTTATTAGAATACATTTTCAGTTTTTCATGCAGTTGATATATTTTAATGCAATAATATATTGGTTGTAGGTCATACTGCTCAAGTGTGTTTACTCCTGAAGCACAGGGCTGACCAACGTCTTAAAGACAGTGATGGTACCGAGCCTCTGGCAATTGCAATCAAGAAAGCTAATGCTGACATAGTTACATTGTAAGGATTAAATTACTTAACCATTTACTTTTTTCATGTTTTTTTCTCACTATATTTTTCTCCATTCAAAGATATTTTATACCCTTTTTATGAGTAATACAATTGTTGCAAAGTGTGTGCTATTCAAGTTCTTAATAATAGTTTTTAAGATTTAATGCAGACTGTCTTTTATTTCAATTCTTGTTGTTACTTTTGTTCGATGTTTTTATTATTAATAACGTTGACTCTTGAAATATGTATAAAGTAATGCCAGTTTAATTCTTACTTCTAGAAGTTGGATGAATGTAGAGTTATTGATTAATAAACTTATTCTATTCAATTAATTAGGTTGCGACTGGCAATGCTTAATGAGGAGATCAAGGCTTCAGAACTGGGCTCAACAGGTGACGACACTTTCAATGATGTTGTTCGAGACTTCTCTCAACTTGCATATTCCCATCCTGAGCGATTACAGCGTGGCCCTCAAGAACCCGAGTGAGGGCGGGAGTTGGAGGTAGTAGCGGGATCTTCTCGCCCTGCCTCCTACTTCCATCACTCGCTTCCATCATTTGTGCGCTCTTCTGCCCGAAAGCTTTTCCCTCGTGTATCTAGGCGAAAGAAGCACAAATCTTAATAGTTGTATGTAATGAACCATTCTAATAACGAACATATTCTCAACCCATGGTATTACTATACAATGTTTTCAGAGTGATGGTTTCACTGCTCTACATTTAAGGTGTGTATACCTTGAAATTTGTACTTTAAAATTTTTAACCTCTGTTAGAAGAGGATGATAGATCTGAACCACGTTCATACTTGAACTTAGATATTCATTGAAAATACTAACTGCAGTTCCTGAAATTTACAAAATTCTCATATTTGTGTAAGTTGATGGCTTCAGAACACTTGTACATAACTATTGTTATGAATATCCTAATGTTAATTGATAAAAGCATGACAAAGTAGTATATTTAATTTTTAGGAGTTATACATTAGATTCAGTACTCTGGAGTATTGCTCTTGTGATAGTGTGTTTATATCATTTTGTGATATATATGAACAAATTTTATTTTGGTATTAATGAATTTTATTTTTATTACTATTATCATTATTATTGTCTTATTATCATCGTTTATTAGTAATTTTTTCCTGTATATTGCTCACTACATGAATTAGTTCTTGTAGATGTAATATTAGTGTGTAATGTAGTTCATGTAGAGGATGATATTGTCATCTCTGTATAATTTGCATTTTTAAATGTAATCATTCTAGTAATCTCTGTTTATTGCATTCCTTTTGAGTGTTTTTGCGGGACAATAGATTCTGCAGAACTGATCAGGTTTGTTGACTGTATATGAATTGTTTGCAAATGTTTATTTTGTTAATCACTTTCAAATTTTAAAGAATACCATTTGCTGTTATGTACAGGCTTCCATAAAATATATGAAACTTTATTGCTTTTAGATAATGTTAGTGTAAGTTTTGTTATATTGCAACATAGTAGGAGATTGATGTAGAGGATGATGTAGTAGCTTCCATATATTCTTACCTTTATCAAGTTTGTTTCTGTAAAATCATAATTAGAACTTACAATTGCAAATTAGGGCTTGTGTTGTTTGCAGGTATTGGAAGCAAACAATAGAAACTCAGTAATATTTTATAATGCATTACGTTACTAATTTATAGCCGACACTGTAGCAGGTTAGCTTATAATATGCACTTCGACAATTAAATTGTTGCATTGATTGGTTTATAAAATTTGATAATGAAGCAATTATGATAGAGAATAATGTTCAGTACTTTTTGAGTGATTACCTAGATGAAATATTAACAGTATTTTATCTACTGATGTAATATCAACTTAGAAATTTTGCTTTAGGTGGGACAGAATAGTAATGTAATTTTCTGTCTTTGTGATACAAAAATTCTCTCTTTGATCCGAAGACTGAAGTGCTGCTCTATGCCTTTAGAACCATACTCCTCAGCTGAGCTTGTGTGCTATTGGGGCTCCAGAGTAAGCTTGTACCAAATTTGGGGATCTCCCAAATGGCTGTGTTCAAGATATCATTTCATCATTCCATTGACTAGATGAACTGCATTTGAATTCTGCAATCTAATAGTTGAATATTTTATGCGAAACTAAGCACACAATTCTGAATTTTAGTAGAATATGAACAACTATTTCTGCTTTATACAAACATGAAAGCAATGGTTCCATTTGTTTGGTATAAATATCATTTGCTTATTATTAAGGTGCAAGACACTAGTTCATAATTTTTAATTAAAAGAAAGCAATTTTGTTGTACTTGGTTAAGATGTGTCTTCATTATTTCATCTTGTTTTGAATGATCAAGAACTCATGATGAAAGAGGTTTGATATAAGAAAATTTTTCTTAAATTCATCTTATTTCTTCATTGATTTCAATGCATTTGAAATCTGTTTTCTTAACATGTTGATTTCTCAAAATTGTAATTTCAGTAGCTATTACGAATGTGTATGTTGCTTATGATACTACAACTTGCATTATATTTAAATTCTTGCACTTGGAAGTGTTTCAGTGTAATTTTATAAGAGGAGAATTATCAAATGCAATCTCTACCCATTCTGTGTTCAAAAGAAAATTTATGTATTTTCATAAATGGTTTAGTCTGGATTTTGAAACTTATCACTTGCAGATGAAAAATATGAAAATTTTATTCTTCAAGTTGTATGCTAAATCAGAAAATATTTTGCATAATTTTAATGGTTGATTGCATTTAACAATTCTATACTGTATGTGGTATCTATGCTATATAATGCCTTTTTTCACTTAGTAATTGTGTTTGAAAAATTTAGGCGTTTGCACGTAAGACAGTTCTTTCTGTAGATAGAATATCTACTGATATGAAAATGTATAGAGACATTTGGAAGGCATAGTTTTTGTGTCAATAAAGTATTAATCCCTAGCAAATTGAGAAAACTACTGGTCTTCCTCATGGATGCCTCAGTATTTTAAGAGTAAATTGGAATTTGTTAGCTTTGATATGTTTTGTTAGAAACCCCTATTCCAGGTTTCTGAAATTCTATCTACTTATTTGTAATTAAAAAATACATTTAAAAAGTCTGTCTACGCGGATTTCTCTTGAAAACATCGAGACTTTTCTACATATTGGTGATAATAATGGAATTGTATTAGTGTTCAAATAATATCCTGAAAGTAATAACAAAAAAATTATTTTGTAATTTTCTGGCTTTGCCATAATTGTATAGAAATTGTATATTTGAATTATAATTGATTTTGGCAAATGATGCTATGGTGCTGTTGTACTTGTACAGTATTAGTTATCAAGTGCATGCTATAATTGCCTAAGCTAATATAAAATGGAAAATCTATGAAATTTGGCAATAATTGTACACTTTTTAGAAACACTCGTAAGTGTCCTTGAGGCATAGACTTATGTTTGTGCATTTATGCATATCTTTTATATAGTACTTTGTTAAATTACTTCTAAAATCACTATGGACAAAGCATCACAATTTATATTGTATTTTTCCTTTGATACATGTAGGTTTCTTCGTTATTGTTTTTATAATTCTTTTGGCAAACAGTACTTCACTAGATAAATATTTGAATCCCTCCATCAGCTGGAAGTTTTAAATCCAGTAATTATATTTAATTAAATATGTGAATTTGGAAAATCTTTTACTTTTGTACAATGTCTTCATGTAGGCTGTGTTTCTGTTTAAAGTTTCACCAGTATAAACTCCTTCCATTATAGCCTGAATTGATAGGGGATCGTTTCCACCCGTCTCTTCTGAAGTATTTCTTGTTCATTCTCAAAAGGTATTAATTTGTTCTTTTCAGATACACAGACAATCTCATATTTGATTTATGATTTCCAACCTTTGAACTGTGTAAATGTAGATAATAATAAAATTGGAAAAGAAAACTTAATTTGGTACATAAGAATGTTTATTGGCCCATGGTTGCATTTGGACAGTGGATTATTATTACTAGGTATCACCAGAGGCCATATGTGTGTATATTAATCACCATATTCACTTGTGGTTACAAAATGAAATGCTGATGTAATGCCATATCCAATTCACACGTGCTTTGTTTATGTTTAATCCCCCCCCCCCAGAAAATTGCCAATTTGCAACCAACCTCAAATGACAATTTTGTTTGAACATATAAAACTCCAGGTGATGTATGGATGATTAAAGTTGTCTTAATTACCTATCACAGGGAAAATTGATGTGAAACATGCATGATTTACATTTTGTTATGGTAAATATAACTGTCACATTGTTATTTGAAAAATAAGCATTACTGCCAATAACTTTACATTGTGTAAAATCAATATTTTGTAAGGAATAGTGAAAATCTCAGAAGCCAGAATAATTAATAAGTGAATCAAACGCCATTTACTTGTGCCACTTCGGTTGACATAAGGGGTTAGTGGTAAGCATAAGAAGTTTCATTATTTTATTATTGAACAATATTTTCATTTATCTGGATGTTCCAGAAAGCTGTGTAGAATATGCATTAAATCATTCAATATTTCTGTGATCCTATAATGTGTTTTCTTATGTATCTGTTGTAGCCTAAAATATGAAATACTAATTAGTTTTTAAAGTGTTAGTGTATGGTTACACATTCCTAGTGAAAACAAACCAAATATTAAGGCTTTCACTTACATGATTTGCTGATTGATTATTAAAAATATATCTGTCCTTTTCTTTTGATATACTTGTGTTGTTATTTCATATTCACTTCTTTTTTAACAGAAAAGAAGCACCAATGGACACTGGGAAAGGTAAGAATATATTTCCGTGTATGTCTTAGAAAATGTCTTTTATCATCACATCGTTGTTGTTATTATTATTATCATCATCATCATCATCATCATCATCATCATCATCATCATCATCTGAGGTTATTACATGTTTTCTGATATATTTTTGTGTAATATTAAATCCAATGAAAAATATTTCTTCTAGGGTCACAAGCACTGCTTTAATTCCTAAGCATAATTAATGAAGTGTAAGGAAATAAATAACAAATTTCGTTCATCCAAATGAAACTACTGTGTATTAATAAAGTCTCTTCGATAATATTTGTGTGTTATTTAATTTTATTCATTTATCAATCGCTTTTTGTTAATGAATTTAATTCTGATTTATTTATGTATTTTAATTAAATGATTATTTAATATTAATTATATATGAGCCGCATCAATCATATTTGCAGTAATAAGATAATTCCTCCAATACTGAAATAAGATCAGCAGTTGATAGAGGCTTTAAATTTCATTCTCGAAATAAGAATTTTTATAGAAGATAAATTAATTATGCTTTATACAATGATGTAACACAGCAGAATAAAACACTACCTTCAAGATGAAATACTTATATCAGGAACGGAAATATGAAACAGTTGTTACCTGTCTATAACTCAACAATTACATTCTAATTGCATTGGTTCTATCATATTCAGACCATTTATGCTCTCTAATCCCAATGTTGCATAAACACAACATTATTGTAAAGTATCAATAATAAGCTATGTAAGAGCCTGTCTACATAATAAATATTCTAAAACAGAAAAGGTTCAAGCAGGTTTGTTGAGTAATGTACAGTAAAAAAAGGTTTTGTGTAATAATTAAATTAAAAATTGAGTATCAGTAGCAAAATCCATTACATTATCTTCAAGTTTCAAAATTCAGCAAAGCCAGATTTGTGCTTGGATATGAACGAAAAAATCAGAAACTGATCAAATAGCATTTCTTCTTAGTGTTAGTGATAAAGAAGAAATTTTTATGGAATCACTATGATGTTACCATATCTATGAAGAGTAAATAAATTAAAAAAGAACCAACATTATGAAAGATATACACTGTCACTCAAACTAGATTCTACAGAATAACGAAATGTTTGTCAAAGACAATTAAATGTTTTATAGGCAATCGGCGATTACACAAACGTTTAAAAGATAACAATATTAGAAATTTGGAGAAGGGCGTGTTTATTAAATTTACTATTTGGTTTTTAATTGGAAATTATTGCAATGAAGAAATTGAGGAAATATAAAGACATCTAAAAATTGGAATGTAAAAATGCACAGCGAGTTTAAGAGAAGACTTTGTTTCAAACTGCGCAGTGAAAAACAGGGCAACAATGCACATAGACAGACGGGTTTGGAATCTTGAGTGTTAACATCGTGGCGGAAGTCGAATCTTTGATTTTCATATAGAAATTTGTTTTGACGGTAGTTCATTTCGTAAAGTGATGCTCCTAGTAGGAGTATATTAATTCGCGTGTAGTTCAATTAGGAATTTAAAAAAAGAAAAGGAAAAGATGGTAACCGCGACGAGAGGACAGAACTTTGCAGCGGTCGGAGACGGCGCCATTATGGGGTCCAGCAACCAGGGAGGTGACGCAATTTTGCCAAACGATGTTGTAACAAGACCACGACTTGTAATTAAGTGTTATTTAGTAAATAGCCATTAGAATCAATTCAATTCCCAGAAAGAGTGCACTTCCGTGAATGAAATGTAGATTAAATATGTATGAATGACTGAATGTTATTTGTAACAGTCCGAGTAACATTTCGAAATATTGTTTACGAATAAATAATTGCTGATCATATTGTCAGCATTATTAAATATCTGTATGTATGTTTTATTAGGTAACAAAACCCAATGACTGAAGAAAGGAGCCAGGTCCCCAAATCAATATAATATTTCGATTTCCTGTTTGGGGTCGACTTCACTAATTTACACCAAAATTATAAATTTGTACTGTAGGAGCATAAACTTGGCATTTTCATGATATCGTTGAGAAAATCATACATTGGACTAGGCAGTCAACATGACAAATTATTAACCGCTTACAGATTTTGACTCGCTCAAGTGCGGGGTGAAATAGTTAAAAATGTTAATTATTAGTAAATTTTAATTCTTAGGTTCATGATATATATATATATATATATATATATATATATATATATATATATATATATATATATATATCCAATGATTTTCCTTCTTCGTATACGTACGTATATAAAGAAGTAGTACAGATAAAATTATGTATTACTATGAAAAATCGATTTCGAGATTTCAACGGAAGTAGGTACACGTTTCGGGGTCCCCTAATACCGAAAAATGTTTTTGTTTTTTCAAAATGTCAGTTTGTCCGTCCGCCTGTGAACACCATTAGCGCTTACACCACGCGTAGGACTTATCCAAATTGAAGAAACCCCTGTCAATCTGACTCGAGTCGAAACTTTGAAGTTTAGAAAAACATTTTTTAAAATTTGGGCATTATTGCATGCGATAAAAACAAGATATTCTAGAAAATTGCTTCAATTGATTTCTTTAAACTTTAGGAAGAGATAAGGGTCGTCCATAAATTACGTAACGTAGGTTCTCGGAAACTCAGGAGTTTTCTGTGACAATGAACCCAAAATTCCGCTCAAAAGCCGTGTACTAAAAATGGCTCAAAATGTTTTTTTCAAACTTTTCCAACGGATAGTGTTATTTGTCCTGTTTAATAGTAAAGTCCATTTTAGGGTATTATTTTATTTATTTGTTGTTTTCTTCAAAAATTACACAAATATATTATTTTAAATATCTTTCACACCGTTTAAATGCTCATTTTAAACAATTTGTTGACATTTGCATGAGTGGTTGAAATGACATTTTTTGAAAACTCAAAAGCTTAATGTGAAAAAGTGCTTCAAATTTCGCATTTACACTAACGCTTAATCGCCATTTTCTTAAAAACAGCACAGAATTTTTCAATGATAATTGCTATTTAAAACGAGGTTTTACTTTTCTTTAACATTTTTAAAGTAATATTTTGGTTCTACTGTTAAAAAAATCAAAAAATTGAGAAAATTTCAAAAAATATACTTTATGTAGATTACATGGCAGCCGGCAAGAGGACAGGATTTATGACAAGACCGTAAAGCCAGTAACAGAAAGGAAATTAGAAAATTTTATTACGAGAAAGTCTGTGCCATTCTGTAACACCATTGGTTTCTTTTTACTTTGTCGTACTAACTAATGTAAAAAGAGAAATTATTGTAATCGTGCGCCAGAAAACGGCGAATTTTCGACACAAAATCTCTTATTGCTGGACCCTGGTAACGAAAAAGTAGATAGATCCAGTTGTTAAAAATAGAAAATAAATCCTTCTAACACGTCATGTAGCCGCAATCCATGTTTTGTACGTCCTTCACGCCGAATAAATGGATTGACAGCTGACCGTCTGAGTGTCTGTCCGTCTGTGCACAACTCTAACACAAAAACCGTTCAGTCGATTTTCTCCGAAACTGATATTTCCCAATCGTTCTCGCTGATGTCACGTCCTCCGGTTTTGAAACCGATATTTTAATTTTGGAGGGTACTTTACATTAAGTTCAACGGATATTTTTTTTAAAAATGGCTCAACATTTTTTTAATTAAATTTTGTTGTTGAATAGTGTGAAGGGCGTTTAAAAGAAGGGTGCAGGACTCATTTTCGTTAAAATCCTTGATTTTTCAATTCGTTCGAGAAACATTCTTTAAAATGTGGGTGTACTTAATATAAAGCACCTGCGACATTTTCAAAATTTTCTCAAACATTTTTTCTTAAAATTTCTTGTAAGAATAGAGTAAAAGACTTATAAAGGTGAAACAGGTCTGATTTTCACTGTTAACTCTAAAGTTTCGAAAATTTTGAAAGTTTGAATTTTTCGGCGTCTTCCTATAACTACAAAATTAAAGATAGAGATTTTTCGTTGAAATGAAATTTGCTGTCCATAATTAGTTCTTTTATGTAGGTAATGTATATTTGTTTGTAAAATTTAGCTGTTTTCGGGCTATATTGCGTGCAAAATGTGCAAATTTAAAAATAACAAAAACAATATTTTCTCGAATTTTTTTCTTTAAACTTTGGTAGGAATAGTGTTGAATGTACTTATGAAATGACAAAAGGCTATTCTTTTGTTGTTTTTTAAATTACGATAATAATTTTTTTTTAGTTGTCCCCCACGTCCGTAATATTTACATTAGCGGCGATTTGTTCACATTATTTCGTTTATGAATGCATGTGCTTTAAATGATATCATACAAAGTGTCTCAAAAACTCATGTTTTCTGTGAAAACTATCTCAAAATTCCACATTATCAGAAATGCTCAAATGTCATTTTGTCAAAAAAGCTCCAAATTTGTTCTTGGAACATTTTCATGCGGATAGTTCTAATCACGCAGTTTAAGATGACATGAGTCATTTTTCTATATTCTTTTGTTGTTCTTTAATTACAAAAAATCTCTCACACCATTAATATGTACGTTTCCAGCAAAAAATGTATGCATTATTGCATTTGTGAATAGGCATGCTTTTAATCCCTAATTTTAAAAACTTCCAATGGAGTTTTTTCAAAAACTTAAAAGATTTCTATGAAAAATAGTTTGAAATTTCACATTTACATGAGAACTTTAACACTATTTCCTTAAGAACAACACCATATTTTTTAATGAAAATTGCCACTTGGGACAAGGTTTTATTGTTCTGTTATATTCTTAAAGTAATATTTCAGTTCTATTATTAGGAAGCCAAAAAAAATGAGAAAAAAAATTTCAAAAAATTTCAAAAAGTTTCAAAAAATTTACTTAGAGCAGAAATAGATGGCAAGTGGCAAGAGTATGTGGCAAGTCCTAATAGCTAGCCCAAACCAAAGAAAATGGAAAAGTAATACAAGAATGTCTGTGCCATTCTGTAGCACCAAGAGTTTTTTTAATGTATTTTTTAATTTTTTAATATATATTCAGAGTAATATCTATTCTTAACTATAGATTTTGTCATTTTAATTACAATCTACCTATACTACATTTTGCACAATTTACAAAACAACTTTTTTGAAGCAACTTTTATTTCTTACATTTAGCGAAGCGAGGGCTCAAGAAAATGTGCGCAGATAATACCAATACTGTACTGTATTTCATAATACCATATATATAATATATATATATAATATATTAATATATAATATATATATATATATATATATATATATATATATAATATATATATATATATATATATAATATATATATATATATATATATAATATAATATAGTATATTAATATATATATATATAATAATATATATATCTATATTATTGTATCAATACTATAGTATTTACTTAGGCCATACGTGTTGAATTAAAGCATATCCCAGGTTTTAGTTTAATACTAAAGCAGAGAAGTTGGCTTTTTAGTGATCACTAAGTAATGAACTGGAAACTAAAACAGATTCACAAATTTAAACCAAATTTAAATAATTGTGATGGAAGGAGGAAGAATAAGAATCATCTAATAGAAAAGAGAACTAACTTTTTTTGTAATGTAAAATTTTAGGTATTGTTCAATTCTTTATTTGCATCCATTAAATGTGAATGATTGTTTGAAAACGATCAAGTTTAGATTAGATTTTTAGAATTTATTTTTCTTGAACTAATTTGATTGTTCATTTAATTTTATTTTATTATACATCATGTTAGTATTTTGAGTAAAGAATTAGTCAATCACTTCGTAAGTAGTAAGGAACAGGGAAAGGAAATCCCCAAATCACAAATTATGCTGTATGTTTGAAGCTCTTGAAATCATGTAAATTTTGGTTTTGTGTTCTATCCCTCTGCTAGGATATCTTTGTAAGTATTTTCATCTTAGTAATTTCTTCATTGACTACTATGATTGATATTAAAAATACTGGTGTTTCTTGTCTCTTCTGAACAATTTCTTCTCGTATTGACATTGATGTTGATAGTATCATTGTATCAAAGAAGCAGGTGAACTTATTATAATCACAGCCAATACTTCCATTCTTTACATTTTTTGTGCATGAAACAAATAGTTAGAATTGAATTGAAATAAATAAGGAAGGAACTGTGGTAATAGTTAAATAAAGGAATTTTTCAAATGTGATATTTTTAATTATTGAAGTATATAATTAATTGTTAACAAACAACAAATGCAATACAAGAACGATTTTTCTATTAGAAAATTATTCTACTATAAAATACTGTGTATAAATACATAAGAATATACAATAGCTATTTTTTTACAATAAATAATTACAATGTACAAACAAAAGATGAAGAAATTTTAAGAAATAAATATTATTCAAGTATTTTAATAAACAAAACAGGTGAAATTATTGAAACTACTTCAATGTTTGGAGGTGAACGATTGCATGTTCTGCTTTAAGTTCTACAAATTAAATTATCTTTTGCATAAATGTTACTGCACTTATTTATATTGTGATTATGAAGTAAATACTGTAAATAGTTAAAACATTTTAACAAAAGTTATAAGTTGCAACCATTCTAAGATGATTATTCAATATTTCAAATATTTATCATAGAATAAAAGAATTGGAATATGATTTCGTAATGACATTAAAACTACACATTTTCTTCAAAAAGTTCAAAACTATGAATTTTCACCTTGAACATGCAATCCATGTCTCTGTGCCTTAATTCTGGCAAGTAATTATCAATATTGAAGAGTTCCATTCCAGAAACCACTCAAGTTATTTTTTTTGGAGAAGTAAAAAAAATGTATTACCTTCGCTGTACTTTAAATTAAATTTATTTTAATGATATTCATTGCTTGTTTTTAATTATAATTATACTGAAATTAATAAAACAGTATATTTATATTTGAGTATTGTGTACACGAACGTCTTTTTCTTTCGGCAATGCTTTAGTTCTTTAGGAAATATCAAAATTCAAAACATTAAGTCTAATACACTATTGTTTACCATTGACACACACTCTTCTCCCTCCTGACAGTTCTTTTGAAAATTTTATATTATGAGCTTCTTCATAAAAAGCTTACTCTTTAGTGTTCAGTACAATAAATCTTTAAAATCTTTTTTTCACATTCATAATTGATGAACTTGACATTATAGTTATTGTCATTTCATTAAAGCTTCACAACAATGGATAGCAGGCTTTCTGGAATATCAAGAGCAGAAACTATGACGTTAGTTGATTTTGGACTAATAGTTTTAAAAGAATTAGACTTGGAAAATGTACCTAATAGTATTCCTTATCTCATATCTACAGAACAAAGTCAAGTCTTGCATCTTCATTACGAAGATAATGTGCATGTCAACCTAATGAAAGTGTTCAGCAAAAAAAAAAAATCAGCAAAAATTATTTAAATAGTTTTCAGAATAGAACTCTTCAATGTATGGAAGTATGTTCTGAATGTAGGAACATTATTTTAATTTCCAGAAACTGTAAAACAATTTCAGAACTATGTTTACTAAGTACTACAATCTTAAACACTGCAAATGTATTCACAAAGTATTGGGTGTATGTACATTAACTGAGCAGGTCTTATTCTAATAATAGGTTTCACATCCAGTTTACAATTATCAAGAATAAACCCTGTACAGTCCAGTTCACATTCACTTACTTTTAATGGATCACCTCCTAGTGCTAAATCTATACCCTCTAAACGTGTCGTATGCTAGGATGTTAATGGGATGAATTATTTAAGTACAAATGAGGAATACTGTCATGGATAATTAATTGTCTACTGATATTGACCCCTGTCGCAGACATTTTTGACATACAGAAAGATGGAGTACAAAATGAATACTTTGACCCACTTGAAGTGGAATCACAAGTGGAATTGTAAATTATTCTCAAAACCTATATTAGAAGTAATGTATCATGAAAATTCAGAGAGAATGATACAATACTAAAATATAAATCTTGAATATAAGTGAATTAATACAATTATACAAATTTGACACTTAGAATTAACTTTCATGTCAGGATTCATTATTTTTAACATCCTATCTCTTTTTGTCTATTTTAAACAGACTACTTTGAACTTGCACTATTATTTACTTAATGTTTAGAATAAATAGAATATATTTACAAAGGTACCCTATTGTATAAAATATGTTGGTACACATGTCTGTGTGTAAGCACGTTCTTCTATTAGGTCTTTATCTTCCCGTCTGACTTGCATTCTCATTCCAGATTTGAATAGAAAAGTTACCTAAAAGATATTATGAATGACGCCAAGTTCATTTAAGGAAATGAAAGTGAGTGTTTTCACGCCGACCTAGATGGCCGAGGTAGTTAGAAGAACATACGTCGACTCAGCGCCTCAGTCTGAAGGGTCGCGGGTTCGAGCGCGTACATGGACATGGTTGTTTGTCCCTTGCCTTTCGTGTATGTGTTGTCACGAAAGGCCTTATGAGTTTGTTGTCCACAGGCCGATAATCCCGCAAGTGTGTCTAGTGTGAAAGATTAATGTGTGTCCTCACATGAGGGGTGTACTGGGTACCGGGCGCGGAGAGTCGAAATCGACTACAGGGGAAAAAAAGAAAAGAAAAAAGAAAGAAAGATTGTTTTCACACTTCAACTTGCAATAGAATTGATCGTAATTCAACCGGATTATGGATTAACTCTTATGGATTTTGTGCGAATGCCACGGGAAGTAGACAAATTGTAGGCAAATGCGACCAAATTGGGGCGGAATTGATGTCTGACGGTCCAAGGAAGCCGATCGGGAACCATTCTCGAAGGCTCACTCCGGGGCAAACACTGGATATGCTCTTAACTTCCCACTTGACAGATCCGTCCAGACACCAAATTAGTTGAATGTTCGAGAGCAACAGGGCTGGATTAATATCGTAAGGGATCCTAAGCATGACAAACTGAACCCCGTAAGAATATTAATAAAAATTAATATCAAAATAAACTAAAACATTCTCATTTTAAAAATGTAACATTCAAATATTTTCCTTTGGGACCCAGTCACACGTGGGAGTAAAACCCTTCCGAAACAAACTCAAACAAACACACACGTGCGCACACACACACACAAAAGAATCAATAACAAGATAACAAGTCGTTTAAAAAACAATTGAAGGGAGGCTGATTTTTTTTAAATAGCCCTCCGCAATTTTTTTTAAAAATTAATTGATATATTTAGTTTTAAAAATCATTAGAGGGGCTGAGCTTATGCTTAGATTACGTATATTAATCCACCCCTCGGCGGCAAGATTTCTGGGAAGGTCGAAGTGGCGGCTATCACGTCAGACTAACTTCGTTGCTAATTGACGTTTCGACGAGCTGTCGAGTGCAGATTTAGTGACCAGAGTCAGTGCGTACACGCAGGATGGGCGACGCTGCGCCAGGAACTGTAGTAGCAGCGAGTGTCCCGTGGCTACGCCTGGTCGGCCTCCGTTGTCGAAGTGGTGTGAGTGGGCGCCCTGCAGCGGTACACGTAAGCGCTCACCGACAGGTCGTCATCCGTGCGCAAGCACATCTTTCCCTTGGGGCAGTCGCACCTGGAACACACAAGTAATTATTAGTTGTGCTTATTTTCTAACGAACTCTGTCACGTTTTAGTTAAGTTTTTCCAAAATCTGTTTTCTCAAAGGAGTCGCACATTTCAATTGATATATGGTTCATACAATTGTAAATCATTTATTGGACAAATTAAATTATGAAAAAGTGTTTTAATACCATGATGCCAAGTAAAAATTAAACTTAATTTTCATGCAGAGCTAGTTTCGCATGTCTTCACTGCGTACGCCAATTTTGTCGAGAATACTACATCCTTTTCAACTCTCCAGCGAGTGTGAGAAATAGTGTAATTTCATGAGTGAAGTAAACTGTCAGTGATGCGGAAGAAATGTGGACCCTGATAGCTATCTAAATGAAGGGAGTTGGAATGAAAATTGCTTGATGTGGGAATTCCTGACTTGCTTCCATCTTAAGATTAGAGTGCTTTAATGCTTAATGATAGCTTGGTGATAAGAAGTAATTCATTCTCTTTACTGCCATTTGCAGAAAATCAGTAGAATACAATTGTTTTCAACATTTTTATGATCGACACAAATTCCCGTATTGACTTTAGAAAATCTTCAAGTTCTCTATTTACGCTTACCAAATTTCGTTGTCCACATTCGGAAACAAAATGATGCGAGTCCATCTTAGATTCTCGTATCGAACGCGACTGACTCCGCGTGAATCTGGGATATTGCGACCATTCAAGAACTCATTATCTTCTTCGCCAAATGGAAGCCCATATAATGGTGTTGTACAACGTAGTGGCTTCATTTTATTGTGGACGTGTCTCGAAACATTTGTCTTTATGAACGTGTCAAGTTTGAGGTTTTTAAAAAATATTTTTAAAAGTTTGAAGAAAATGTGGATTAGTAATTGTGATTTAAAGTTTGCCTTTCGGAAATGTAGTCTTAATATTAATATCTCCGCAGAAGTATGACATAGCATGACCAAATGAAACTTCATGAAAACATTGTACTGTTTTATAATGTTTTTGTTTGCGCTTTGTTCTAGTTAGGTTGAGAGGAAATAAACATTATATTTTAAATTTGCCAACTTTTCGCCTTGAATTATTTTATTAATTTATTATTTGTCACGAGCAAAAATTATTACATCAACTTATACAGTTCTAAAGAACAGTAATGTTGACTATTCAACCAAACCATATTTCCGACCGATAGAGAGAGAAAATTCGGAATTCAAGGGTTCTCCCGAGTTTAAAAACAACCCAGCACCTTCTAAATTACTAAGATATCCTTGAGTAACAAGTTACGAAATATACACAACCTCTTACTGAAGTCGTTTCTTGAGGAAAGAATTTTCCAAGTTTGGTGAATAACGTTTAAGAAGAGACTGCTTTTAGAAATAAGAGCAATACTATTAAGACTTGCCCATCCTTATGACACCATATTTAGTTTATAACTGAGAATGTTAGAAGGGTGAGTAGAGAAATGAAGACTTCAAAAGTTGATCTCATAATCTCAACATTTTCCGCTGTGATTTATCAATTTGTTTTTTCCCCGAACACTCCCAGCTCCAATCTAACTTGCAGCTAAGAAAATTGTAGTCAAACCCATTTTTAATTTCTTTATGAAAACTCCTAATTTAGTTTTTTTGGAGTCTAGGACTTAATTGCAGTGATTGTGGAGATGTGACGACAATGTACACGTCCGAAGAAAGATTTTCAATCAAGAAAAATGTCACTGAAAAATACTTTCTTAGTTTATTTTTAATCATATTTTCACGACTACGAAATATTGTTATAAATATTCCCATAAATATTATTTTAAATACAATTCCTTTTTGTTTTTGTCAATAATCTGAAAGTGTAATGCAGCCCTCGCCAGCATATAAAAATGCATGCCGAGGAACAGGCTAACGCGCCGCTCCCAACAATCTCTCTCAATGTGGGATAGAATTGAAAAGGCAATATTAAAGATAGTTTCTATATTGGGGAAAAACGCTAGTTATTCAGTGGTTAAGTTGACAAGACTTCTATTAAAAAGGGACTGCAGCTGAAGCGCCGAACCGCTGACAAAGCTAGTGTTTCTCACTTCGACCAAAAAACTAAATGCTGAGCTACATGTATAGTGTTATTCATATAAAACGAGATTTAATTTCTGCTTCATCTGTGTCCGTACGGTAGCAATAGACTTCCATTTGTCTTGAGGCAGTCGCGATTCGTATGGCAGCCAACCGTCAATGGCGGCAGACTGCCGATAATCGTGATAATCGTCAATGTTTTCGAACCGACTGATAATATCGCGAGTTTATATTCACGTATCTATTGAACCTATTGCTTTTTCACTAACCAAAAGAAATTAAGGGAATGCTGAGCGTGCTAAAAGTTCAATTTTTAACACTATAATGCTGAAAGTGAGACGATATTCAAATGCTCAGATAAAATTGTGAATGCAAAAAGAAAACAAAATACTTCCGTCTGATCGGCTACAAGTGATCTTAACGTAACATTGTGTCCAATTAAGTGATTTGTACAATTGAATTAAAATGAAAGGAAAGTCAGTAAGGCTGTCTAAAACAATTGTCTACGATACACATAGTACATTCATTTTGAGAATATTGATGATGATGGTGGTGGTGGTGGTGGTGGTGATGATGATGATATATATAAGTCCATTGAATCCCTGAAAGGGCAGGGGCCTCCCGTCAGAACCCAGGGATTGTTCTGATTATCTGTTTAGGTGAACCAGTCCTCAAGATTGATAATATACTCAAAGTATAATTTGTAAAGAAAACCAATGCATTATGACGCTTCTTACGAAGAGGCATCAAGAAATACGGACCCCTGCCTAATTCGACCACTGCGTTTTTCACGTGTCAGAAGTCACGTGTTCATCCCTGACCCCACTGAGGCCTCACGCGGACCACGAGTGGGCGTTACCGCGCATCTATTCTTCGATTTTAGTAAAGTGACTTTGACGATTGTTCAACTAGGCGCGGTTATGCAAACATGAGCTTCAGTACATTTTTTTTTTTTTAGTTTTGAAGCTCCCGATTGGATAACTGCATCCCATCTGATCGAACGCCAGAAGCCCCTATAATAAAAACAGGATCTCTGCGTGCGTCTCGCCGGCGCGGCGTGCAGCGGCGCGGCGTCGGCGCTCGCGCTGCATGCCGCGGGATCACGCGCCATTCACAGCGGCGGGGCCTCCACCGTCCGCCACGGTCGGCACTTTACGTAATGTTGCGTGCCAGAGCCGTCGCGCCGCGCCGCGCCGCGCCGCGCCGCGCCGCGCCGCGCCGCGCCGCGCTGCGTCGCCGACCCCGAGGCCCCCGGGGACGGTCGCGGTGGATTAGGCCTCTCGCAGAAGCGCACACGCGACGCCTTGCGACGACCAAGCCGGCGCGGGCGTGAAGCACGCCACTCGCTGCCGGCGTTTTACTGTTCTCTTGACTAGGGTCAGGGTCTTCCGACGGCGGGTGCGGACGTGAAAGTCCCCTGGCGGGAGCCCCGGCGGCATGCAAGCGGCGCGGACATTGGTAATTAGAGAGTCTCGTTTGCGGCGGCCACCTACCGGAATGACCCAAAGCTGTGTCAACTTGACGTTTTCCGAAAAATAATGCAAAAGGAAGTTGTAGATTTAGAAAGAATGCTCATCATTTAATTGAGTATTAATATAAAGTCGGAATTGAACATTAGGCGGGTCAATAGGCAGAAACCTGTATTTATCTATACAAATAATTATATTTTAAGCGGCGAAGATCATGCAAACATACTTTTTACCATAGCTCAAATTATTCTCCACATAATCAATGCATTCAATTTTCTTTTCATTATTAACGATTTCCATTGCTAGTTTACCGATAATATTTTATAATTAATGTTAACATTTAATTTTGATAAAATTTCAAATAAAAACATTCAATAAGTTAACGCATTCTATTTTATTTCCAATTCCCTGAAATATTCTTCGCGTATGAATACAATTTTGAGAATTTTGTTTTAATAAGTTAGCATTTTCCTATGATTGCTTTATGTGATCACTCCTTTAAAATCTTCAGTATTTAAATCAAGGTTCTGATTCACTAATTTTAGTCGAAATCTAATATGTGATTATGCCTAACAGTATCATCAAAACTGTATGTAAGAAAATGCTTCCACTGACCCTCTTTCACATTTTGCAATAAGCGAAAACATTCTTACTAGCTATTCTAAAATACCCTGCATAAAGCTTTTGCAATTATGACCGAAGACTACCTTCTTCAGATTGCGTTCAACAAATGAGTAATGCTAACGGGAGCTGTGACGGCCGCTACTCGAGGAAGGCGCGGGCGGGCACGACGCGTTTCCACTCAATGGGCTGAAACAGGCAGCTTTTGGCACGCGCAAGAGCTGTCCGTGCCGACCTTAATGCGAGGACGAGCGACACGCGGCCTTTCCCAGAACCTCGGAGCAGTGTCCTCTCCGCACTATCGTCTCTTCTGGCCGCGAGTAGGGATGTGACCTTAAGGTTGATGTTTTAAACATAGGCATATTGAAGCCAACGTTTTTAACATCGATGTTTTGCGTTCCATATTTTAAGGTTTTGTGCTAGAAGTATTGTAAATGAAAATTTCCCATAATCAAAACTTTGTAAACGTTAAAATATGAAATAACGAATAGTACCTTCTTCGGCGAACTGAGGACTGGCCTTTTGAAATAACCCTGAACGCACAGACTCTCGGGCTCATGTGTTATTTTTTTTTAACTTTTTTTAGTTAAATCAATTTTAAATTAATAAACGACCACTGCCAAACTAAATTTTGTAGCGCACGAATTTAATGTTAGATGTTACTAAACCGGCTTTAAACATCGATGTTTGTCGGTCGATGTATTATTAACATCGATATTTCAATTTTGAACATCGATACTTAGTAACATCGATGTCTTGTTATCGATGTCGCATCGCTGTCCTCGAGGCGCGCTTCGCGTCAGAAGGACTCGCTCAGCACTAGAGTAACGCAACTTGAGCTGCGCCGCCATTTAAAGCCTCTCTTTGCCAGGGGCGAATGTACGGGGGGGGGGGGAGAAATGCCGATGATCTCTCCTCTGAAGAGCATGATGTTCCCTGCTGGGAATGTATCAATTTAATCTTTCATGGTATACATTTAATCCGCATTAGATGTCTGATTTATGATTTTCACATTTTTTAAATTGAAAACACGGAATCCACATTTTAAAAAAACTGAACAGGAGAACATTGCCGAATGCATTTTTAGGTTTAATTCAGACTGTTTGTGTGAGAAGAACTTGATTTTACTGGTCGTTTCCTCGATTAGCCCTCTCCTGGAGTGTTTAAGCCCCCCCCCCCCCTCGAGAAAATTGCCTATTCTTACTCATCTCGCTCAATAGCTCCATGAGAAAGCTTACAGAAGTAATCAATACCAAGTTCATTTGTTACAAATAACGTTAGTTGAAGGTAGTGTGGAGATTTTCGAGTCTATTAATTTGGATCCGGGTAGACTGGTGATTCCCAGTACACATCACTGCCCAGTTCAAAAGGATATAAAATGGCGGAATCGGTGACCCGAAGGAATGCGCCACTCTGTGCATCCAGGGCCGCGACCGCAGCGGGGCTGTCTGGGTGCGTGCCGGAGAGCGTCAGACAACGACCTACACCAACGGCCGGACGAGAGCGCTGACACAGGATGCGTGAGCACGCCGCCCGAGGGAGGGGGTCGTGAGACAGGTGGCGCGGGAGGTTCACACCGCGTGCTTGAGAACGTGCCAGTTGTCGGCAGAGCGAGAAAGAAAGCAGGATGATTAGATCGGCAAAATATCGAAGCTGCTTTCTTTCAAATATGCTCTTGATGACAAGTTGGTCATGATCGTGTGCTAAACAGCTTCAGCTTCTTTGGAATAAGATAGGAACTAAAATGCTATTTTGTAAAGCTCGTGTTTCGTAACTGTACTACCTATATCTGATTACGTAAAATATATTCAAGTATTTTCAATTTTTATATTACTCTTTGCTCGAAGATTCTCCAGTTATTCCTCACCGAGCAGTCATGTGACGAAAAATTTCTCACAGAAATTAAGTGAAATGGTAACTCCTCCCCCTATAGCTAAGTAGTAAGAAGACAATCATTTCCTAATACATCTTACAATTAGTATGGACATTTTCTATCCTTTAGTACATTTCGTATTATTTCGAAAAATTCAGGACTGACCCGAGAATTTAAATGACATCAGAAAAGGCAAGAAGAAAATAAGAAAGAATACAGTTTTCATTATAACTAGTATTACTGTATTCAATGATGAAAACAAGTGAATTATTGAATCACCAAACTTAGAAACCATTATCACATCAAAACATCACAGATACAATACGGTCAATTCCCCGTTGGTGAAGTGATTTTGCTTCCCGGAGCAAGAGCCGATAAAAACGGACGCTTCACAGGTGGCGGGAGAAGGGCATTGAGGGCATTGCCTTCGGCTCTGAGGCGAAGAATTTACCTGACGTAGTTACAGAAATTATATGTAAATAATTAATTAGGGTGCTCGAAAAATTGTCTCCACTTAGCCAACTTTTGCAGTTTTGTAATTTTCTTCTCATAGTATCCACGTTTAAATTTGTGGAAATTTCTTTGCCTTGTGTAATCGCTCGTGAACTGCAATAGTTGCAAACCCCCAAAACAATGAATTTTGAGTGAATGTACGCTACAGAATTATATATTGGACCTCCCAGCAGCAGCAGCAGGATATCTTACAGTAAATTATTCCACCAACAAATGGCAGAAGTGTGAATACAAGAATGATGCATTTCAATATATGATGAAACTTCAAACTTATTTATCTCCACACCGGATTTTTTAGTTGTGTCACTATCGCAGCCCATAAACTATCTATTATTGTGTTTAAATTAGTTTGGTATTTAAGAAAATTACGTGTCCTTATATTATTTTTTTCTCGTTATAGAAGTAAAAAGGAGGATTAATTGTGTGTTACAAAATATTTGGGCGTCTCCGAGACCATGGTTCTGATTTAATTTTGCACTCTTAAATATTCGCATAGTAAAAAATATAATCTGAATTCAACTGACAGTGTGAGGACTACCTAGGGGTCGCTGGTGTGCGACTATTACGTGTGTTTATTCCAATGTCTGTGACTCTTTGCCAATGTAGCTGGATGAGCGTTATGATGCGAAAACTGTTCGAGAATTCTCCTGTGGAAAGCAGGGGATGAACTTACGTGTTCTTCATGAAGTAGTCGACGCGGCGAGTGAATGGCACGTACACTGCCCAACCACAGGGCGTACTGCTGTGGCAAATCTTGGGAGGCGCCTCTGAAGACGGGCTGCTATTCGCCACCGCTCTCTGGGAACAAAAAGAAAAGAAAATATCACCCACTGTCAAGGTACTAACGAAGTTATTTTGGAGTAGGTTTGGTAGTTTGCATGCGAAGTGCAATACCTAAGAATTTTGTACAGAAGAAAGATAATGTTGATATTATATTTGAATAAGCTCTTTTTGCATAATAATAATAATAATAATAATAATAATAATAATAATAATAATAATGTTGATATTAATGTTTATTGCCCAAGTACATAATGTATGTAATCGTTATTCATTCCCAGACTCCCTCTGCTTGGTGAACGCAAAACACTTCTGTTGCTTTTAATTTGAGAATGATACCTTCTGTCAATTAATTGTGCATAGTAACAAGTTAAAGATATAATATATCAGATATAAACAGTGGATGAGTCTTGCTTCTTTGAAGAGTTTATCGGTCCGAAAGCATAACATTTCGCGATCTTTTAATCTCTTGAAACTGAGGCAAATAGGACGAAACCAGTGCAAACCAAGCGTAACTGAATAACATCATTAAGGAAGGGGTAATAATAGTAACACAGTCGTCATGTCACGATCGGGCGTTGCCCAACTGCTTTCCCCTTCCAACCGGATTCTTCGCCGCCGCTTGCTGCGACCTGTGTCTCGGCACCGTCCATCCCAGAGGCCTTTTCTTGGTCGTCATCGTTTCATACGACAACCAATCACCGGAGGAGCCCTCTCCTTCAGCGCGCGGAAGGCTCGCTTGCGCCAGCGCCCTTGCGACACCGGCACCGCGAGTCAAAAGTCGCTCCCCGCTCCGCCCCGCCCCGCACCACGTCGTTCCTCCCCGCCCCGCCTGATCGCTCGCGTGCATGAACGCCAGCCTCCGCGCGCCGCCCCCTCACCGAGCCTTCGAGCCTCCCCATCCCCTCCGCCAGCGCGACCGATTATCGGCGAGCGACATCTTTACGCGTTTCAACATCCGGTCGCAGTTGCACCAAAGGGCGGAAGCCGCCTCCCCACTCCCCGGCCGCCTCAGCCTATTGCGTCGGACTTCGGCCACGCCGCCGGCGCTCGCGGCCACTCGCAAACGCCGACGGCGTCTTTTGGTTTGCGCCATCAATCAAAACAGGCGTTAATTAAGGTCTGGTAAACACCATGCGATAGCCGCCGGACACCCAGACGACGACTCCGGGAGCTTTCGCAACTCCCGGAGTCGATAACCCTTGTCTGAGAGCAGCGGCAGTCTGGCGAGGCTGCACAGGAGGCGCGGCCTCCCAGCCCTAGTCCAACGGATCCCAAATTCACGGCGCGAAAACGAACTCCCGATCCTAATTCACATACATCGTAAGTGCGAAAGCCTATTTCCTTGGTTACAATGAGGGCCCGATTAATATCTTACGGAAGCCTAAGCATCAAACTATGGGGCTCCTTTATAATATTGAAATATAAAAAAAATGTTATAAAAGTGTCTATGAATTAATATAAAATGTTGTTTAAAACATTCTTTGGAGCCCCTAATTAGGGAGATCTCCAAGCACTTGGTTTGTCTGTTTTTGTTTTAATCAATTCCTGGATATGTTTACCCCCTGTACAACGGAAGCAGACCTTTATGTTTCTCACGGTGGACTTTGAGAGTTTGTTTCTTCCCGCTCGCTTAACTTTTTAACAAATCAACTTATTTTGATGATCCAAACAAACTATTTTCAACTATGTGAGCGTTGCAGGCTAGGCGAGTTTTAATAATCAAGTTTCAGTAAACTAGGCAATATTCTAAAAATCAAAAACACATTCACATTATTGCGCTAATCAAACATCATAGCAATGTCGTGGGTATATGTCTTTTATAACATTTTTGTTTCATGATTGACTAATAATCTCCTCCTTAGGGATATATAATCCTTTCTGCGTGGGAAAATGCTCGTCAAAGAATGATGCCTTTAAATTTTTTTTTATGCCCTTTATTTCAGAATGCTGAATGTCATACAATTTGCACGACTGCCATGGAACAACTGTTATGGAACAATGAAAAATTATTATTGGCAAAAACTGATTTGGAATTTTATTTCCGGATAAAATATATATTTTTCCATATTTTTGCTTATTGTTCCGTTCATTTAATGTATTTTCCCATTAACGTTGTCTTTTCAAGTTTCAACATTTTGACCATCTCTCAAGTAATATTGTTTACGTTGTAGTGACACATCTGTATTAACATTTGCATCTATTATGTATTATAAATGCCTACAGATTACTTTTTAATGTGTCAATAATTCTCGCGGAATTGTCGCTTCGTATCTGAGAGTGTTCTACGAGAAAATTAGACGCACTATAGCTATAAAGACTGTCACGTCCCAAATTTCCTAGCATTTAATGTCTATCAATGAAAAATCACGGTGATGGGGCAGAATGTCGACATCGTCCGATTGGTCCTGACGTCGTTGTTATCGAATCTTCTTGCCCTTGTTTGGGTTTGCAGAGGCATAGACGTCAGAAGCAGACAGAACATCTTAGAACACCAGAGATTTCGGACGATTTACGTTACAAAACGTTATAGAAGTTTTTAGCTGTATCATCTATGCAACAGAGCAATACCGTGTGACAATGAACGCTGTGCAATGCATTTAATATTGAATAGATGATTGAAATTTTTCTTAACGATTTAATGGTACAAGTGTAGAGAAATATATTTCAATTAAAAATTTGGAGCATGATCTAGACACACGGTATGAAGTCACGTGCTGCGCAGAGATGTAAATTAATGATGAATATTAAAGGAATCTGCCACGAATGATACAGAAAGTTCGAAGTATTTGTAACATTTCCCACAAAAAAAGTAATTATAAAATGTATAATAAATAAAGTACATATACTCCTGTTTAATGGAATATTATCGAAAAACCCGATACAAACCAAAACTATCATATTAAGGGTTTGCACTTGGCTGTGCATATGAAGTGATCGTGAATATCAATAACTATTTTTAAAATGCAAAATATTAAGGGAAACAATATATTCAATTGAAATAAAATAACTACGCATACCTCTCATGCCCATTGCCTTTCGAATACCTCCCATTGCGCAGTTGTTCGAACTCAATGAGGCCGAGCGGTATAGAGGGGGGGAAGAGTTTTCGGAGTCCTTGGAGATCTACTGAGCGAGATAGTGAACATTTAGTGTTTCTGGCCACGTCAACTAATGCAGCATTTAGTCATCGAAGTGTATTGCATGTATATCGCAGGAGGTAAGCGGTGTTCTACCCGCGCTGGAACGTAAGTCCCGGCGCCGACACCTCAGCTTGCGAGGTTTTCCCGCTCTAGGTATCTTCGCTAGCGTGCACTTGCTTCGGTAGTATAGCGCATGTAAGTATGTGTTTGTGTGAGTGTGTGTGTGTGTAAGAGTTGTGTATGAGGAAGGAAATATCGCGCTCGGTCCATGGTCTATTTGTTAGAGTATTGCCTGATCGGAGAGACCACGGAAACTGCGAATCAGAGCAGTTGACCGCTACTATTCTCCTTGACCCAGAGGTAGAAGTCGACCCAGCTATGCACCTAGTGACACCGCCCGAGTCCTCCACCGGCAGGTCTCAAATCCTAGCACCTCCCGGTCAACGACGCCGCAGCGGCTCAAGGGTCGCCCCTGAGCCATCACGGCAGAGCCGCGTGAGGCGGACGTGGGCGAACGCGGGAGAAGGAAGAGGTGGGGCCTGTTTGTAAACAGGAGGCGGCCGCTATGCCGCCGGCTGCGACGGATGTTGAGGCTGGCGCAGCGAGCGCGGCCGGCGCTACTCCAGCAGTAGTACGAGTGACCTCGGGGTCAGCCCCCGCGACTGGCGGGCGCCGCGACGCGCCGCGCCGAGGCCCCCGGCCGCCCGCTTGTGAATGGAGGCAATCACGCGCGCAGCCACTGCGCAGTAGCTGCGCAGAGCCGAGCCGCGGCTCTCCGCCGAACCACCGACGCGGAGCCAAATAGGCTGCCTTCCTTCCAGTTTTGGGCCGATTTTCAAAAGACAGCGTACGTGGCGAAGGTGGAGGGCTAATTTGATTAAAGATGCTCTTTCTCTCCCCCAATTTCAATCTGTCATCTTAAAATGTAGACAGGATGGCCAAATGCAAGACAAATATTCACGACTACGAGCGAATTCCACTAATGTAATTGACCAATATTTTTGCAATCGGCGTCTATTTCCCGTATAAGCCTTTTCAAATAATCTGAAAGTTAGAATCGTTTACTGAATGTCTTGTGTCTAATATTTATATATTAAGCAGCAAAGAAGCTTCACAATCAAGACTCATAATCCACATAAATGTATAATCCAAGGGATTCCGTTCACGATGTCGTGCGTATACCTAAGATTGGCTGGCAGATGCAACGAGAGAAAGGAGGATGTAAATGTCGATTTCTCCCCATTACGATCTCTTCCCTTTCCTAGTGAACAACTTTTCCAAATGCTTTCTCTAATATGGTAAAGGAAATAAAGTTTTCTCTAGTTTCTCTCTCTTGCGGTTGCTGCAGTGTGCCAGTCACTATGTCATTAGTGGAATCAAGACCGAGTTACGCCTACATTTCAGTCGTGCTCTTTCCGCGTAATTTTGGAGTTTATTGACTTACCGGGAACTATGACTGGACGATCTACTTGACCGAAACCATAGTACTTTATTCATTCAATGGAAGGTCCGAATCGAAAATTGTCTCTCAAATATGGAGATGCGGAAGATGACCCGAAACGTGACACAAGTCACGTTTCAACTGTGTTCTACGACACATTCGCTGTCCTCGAATGCACGTCGGGCTAGACTTAATCATTCTCGGATGGACTTAATACTTTGACCTTCCTTCTTTTACACGCCTCTGGGTCTGACTTCCCAGTTACATCATCAAAACAAGAACACGTGGTAACCACGCGAGTACCCACAAACACGAGAAACGTGATCACATAACTAGAAGACATCAATGTTTGTTCACTCCTTGCCCAAGACTCGTGGACGTATCATTACTTATATATGCATTTTATGTGTAGATATGAACTATAATCCCTCTAAGGAAGTAAGCTTCCCATATATCAATATAAGCCACCGTTGTCTAGAGAAAGCCCCTACCCGTGTCCCAAACGTGCTATTGCTGGACTTTTTCCTTCTCTAGGCCTGCATTATTTAAGATGAACATTTAAGGAATTCGTTAGTTATGAAATTGGGAAAAATGAAGGCACACATGCAACCCGAAACACATGTTACAGTGAAACTCACATTACAATGCGCATAATTCTGAAATGAAGCGTTCGAGGTTCTTAAACCCAAGAGATATATGTTGTGTTTCTCGGCATTTACAAAATGAGTTATTTTTCCTGCCATTCCCTTATATTTTTGAAGTGAACCCCAAAAAGATTCGTTGAAAGTTGTCGTCAGAAAGTTTGCATATAAATCTATTTTCACCTTTGAAGGAAATATTTAAAAAGTGCGGAATATCCGCACAGATCCAACTACTTCTATACAATCGTAAGATTTCGAACGTCAAACTTTTAGATTGACAATTCATAACTACGGATTAATACAATGTTGTTTTTTTGTTGAGATTTTATTGAATGTTTGGAAGGTTATTAATGACCTCGTCCAGAAAATACTTCATGAAGTGGATAATACGCGAGGATCTCTCAGTGCATTTATGTTCAAATTAAATAGACCATCGTGACACAACGTTGCCCCTGTGAGGGACTGCAACCCGCTGCCCGCAAGAGGCGAGCTTGTAGCCGCACCGTGAAGCCGGGGGCGCATCAGGCTGAACGAAGCCTGTGCGAGCGTGGCGATCCGTGGCTTCTCCAGTCGACTCGTAATTAGATTCTTTCGCGAGTGCTTCCTTTGCTTGAACATGCACATTTGATTTCAAACGTGAGCAAAAGACATGCAGCGGAACTAATTAAAAGAATGTTCAACTTGTTCAGTTTCTAGGCAAGTAACTTCGTTGAGGAAGAAAAGTAAACATTTAATTTTCTTCATATTATTTCCGTTTTGTATAATTATTAGATAGTGTCAAATAAAATGTAATTAAATGGAGAAAATACGCTTCAGGATTAATGAATAGGAAAGAAAATTTCGTACTTGTTGCGATAGTCTTATGAACCTACTGATATCTCAGAAAGCGTAAACATTATAAATAACTCTTTTTATACTCGTACCAACTCATTAGAGTTATGTTTTATATAATACAATATTGCTTGCTTCATTCCTGACAATTACGTTTGCATCTTTCCGTCTTAGATAAAGTACCAATAATGAATAACGAACATTGCACATATGCAACCTCTCTAGACTATGCTCTAAATGAAATTTTAAAAATTTCATTACATTTGTTCAGATACTGTACACTTCTCATTTAATTTTTAAAAAAATATTCAATTGCAGAACCAGAACATGTTGCTCATTAATTATTTTAAAAAACTGTAACTAATGAAAATGTGACTAAATGACTTATGATAAGAACATAAATTAATAACTCTCAAGTACTTAAGAAAGTACAGTATGTGTACTACGTAGACAAATGAAGTAAATTATTGGCAAACACACAAGAGATATCTGTAAAACTATTATTTGCATTTCCATTATTTCTAAACCCGCAAAACTGAACATATAATTAATTTTACTTTAAATCACTGTTTTAAAAAAAAATCTTACGAAAATAATTCATTTTGAATTTATTATTTTAATAATAAAATAGTTAAGGTACCTCATTTGTGTACTGGAAATATTGTAACAATTGTTTTCATGAACGCACTTCCCTTGCAAAAGATATGTCGTTTCACATCACTATTGTTTGCTTCATGTTACGATTTCAGTGATTTGCTGTTTGTGAGGAGCCGATAGACCTGAGCAAACGCGACTTTTTACCAGATATGCAGTTAAGAAATGTAATGGGAGCGAAAAGGCATTTGTCACAGCATGCATGACCAAATCCTCCCCTCCACTAAGCTACGTAACTTAAATAGGTATTTTTTTATCTTATATGTTCACTACTTTTTATATTTATAAATGTTGTTCCGTCGAATATAAAATGAAATATAAATGTGAAATAGTATAGATATTAGTATCTGTTAAACTATTTTTCCTCTCATTCAAGACATTCGTGTCAGAATCTCAACTTTTCTTCCATCAGAAAATTATTAGTTTTTTAATAATAATGTAGTGATAAATAGTTTATAAATAATCACAAACTGGCGAAATTATTGTGCTCTACGTATACTACATTCTGCATTCTCCTACTTCTCAGCACCATCCATATCTAGCACTTCATTCGGTTTGAAAATTTGCGATTGAATTTTCCCGAACACCCCCATCCCATACTTAACATCCTTCCCAAGTCGTACCATTCAGTATCCGCATATCTCCGTTCCGCACTCTCACTACAATAGAAAAAGTCCCTCCAAGCACGTCCTCTCCTTTTTAATAGTTCCTCGAGTCATTAAGCTTTCGCTCTAGCTTTCCCTGCCTCCTTGTCTCTTCCTTTCTAAATTGTGCTTATGTATCACCAAGTTCAATCCCGTAACATCCAATCCTATAAACATACGCCGAGACTGGTTCGTGGGCGCCATGTTTCAACGTCGGTCCCCGAGACGTCATCTCCAACGCCCGAACATCCCATCAGGAGGAGAGCATCCCGAAAGCCGCATTTCCCCTCACGCTCCCCGAGACTTCCCTCCGGTCCGAACCGCTCGTAACCAGCGTCGGCCGCGGCCGCTGGCGCTGCCTCTGTGGGCGCGGGACGTCCTCCGGCGCTGCCTCCTCATTGAAGGATTTACGGCGCGTGGGCGCCACCAGAAGGCGCTGATTCCCGTGCCGCGGGCGGCGGCGGAAGCGCCTTCCAGATTGACCGAGTTGACGAAGTTACGAGGGAGATTCAAAATGTCACCGGAAAGCGGATGCTCTCTAATTCCAACCTACGTCGGCTTTTCGAGGCAAGGCGACGTTGAGGACGATAAGCCACGAGACCGTAGAGACATGAAATATTGTGAAAACATAGCGGTTTAGAGACAAATAATTATAATTTTCTTTTGTTTCAATAACTTGTTGGATTTCTTCTCATTTTATAAGCTCTCGAATTCAAGCAACGTACCTTCAGTAAAAGAAGTTTTTCGATTCTAGCATTAGCGGTGCATGATTCTTGATTGATTAAGTTGCGTTTTGCGTTTTATAACGCTTACCAATACTGTAAAATGTTAAGACTTTATTGTTACAAGTTGGAACGTCTCATATTAGTAGTTCGGTCAACATGCAAATTCCACGTGTTCTCTATGCATCAAAGAAACTTTAACATAGGTAGCTTCTAATGTGAATGAAATGCACTAAACGCGAATTAATATAACTTGATTATTCACGAAACCTACAGACTTTTTTTTTCAGTCACGGAATTTTACATCAATAGTTTCGAACAAGGTATCATTAAGTTAAAACATTAAGTGAAATTACCGGAAGAACAAACAATAAATCAATTATAAAAAAATCATTCCTGAAATAAAAATACATTTGAGAACATTACCAAAAAATGCATGCAATTCGATGGTGAATTCTTCCCTTTTGCTGATTCCATTGTGAAATTATTTAGTCTTTATAAAGGTGTAGAAACGAGAATGGTAAATTAATGATATCACCAAACATTAAAAATTGTAAAGCAGTGAATAAGCTCCGGCTTCCTAAGGAGATTTTGTCCACATTCCAAGTTACATTACTTCATTTATTAGCAATAATTTTGTCGCCTTCAAGCGTCAACATTACCCTCGAACATTATTAATCGAAATAAAAATTTGATGCAAGAACACAAACGATATATTCGAGAAAAAAGGCATTTGAGTAAAACGAAACCAACAACAAAGACAGAGAAGATAGCACTCACCTTGCTGTGGACGGCGGCGGCGTGAGCGGGCGTTAGGGCGGATAGCGCCAGCAGCACGCAACACGCGACTGCGACGGCAACGGCGAACCTCTGCATGCGGTCCATGGCTTCAGACACCGGGCGGGCGCAAACGCGACGGAGGATTTCGGCTGATGCAAGGGGATGACGCAACTGAACACGCGGTTGCAGCGGCTGCGTCGAGGTCTCGACGTGGAGTACGACGGCGGCGTACGTAAAGCTCACTAGAGCGCAGCGGCGGCGGTGGCAGTGGCGGCGGCGCGCGAGAGGCAAAGGCGAAGGCACGTCGGCTGGGGGCGACTTCGGAATGCCGCGTCCGGCGCCCAGCTGCCCTATATAGGGCGCCGCGATTGGCCCGTTGGTGGGGGGGCGCCGGCCAATGAGCGCGGCGCGGAGTGGCGCGGAGAGGCACGGCGCGGGCGGCGTGACGCGGCGTGGTGAGGCGTGACGCGCTGCGCGGCGTGCGTCGCGTTTCGCACGGCGGCGGAGCGGCCTCCTTCGCCTGCGCGCCGCGGCGCGGCACTTTCGCAGAACGAGGAGGCGCGGCCCCCCGTCGAACACTGTGCAGTGGCAGATGCTGTAGGTGTAGTGCCCAGGCGACTTTGTTTTCTTTCATTTATGCTGAATTTTAATTTTCTTTTGTTGGTTTATAGTTATTTATAACGTATTCAATTGAGATACTGAACGACTTTCTTTACTACAGTAAACTATGAGTACGTGTCGTCAGCTTCTGGGTTGTTGGGGAAGTCCCATGAACTCTTCCTCGGGTGTCCCAGTGACTACTTCACATTACTGCACACAACTGAACTGCGCCTAAGTGAGCGTGCGCGTTTCTGGCACGTGTAAATTGGGAAGCAGCAGCAAAGGTTGTGATTTAAATCCAAGTACTTGCGCGGGATTTTAGACCTGGAAGATTTTTAAGACACTTATATTTATTAATTGAAGTTAACAAGACACAAGATATGCCGGTCCGGATGGCCGAGATCGCTAAGGCAGTAGGACCGAAGGATTGCGGGTTCGAGTCCCACCTCGGGCATGGTTGTACTGTGTTCGTCCTTCCACCCCCTATCATCTTATAGTGTCACCCTCATAGTTACCATACCGTTACTCGCAATAGTAGTCGCTAATGACCTAGAAGTTGATGCAACCTTAAAATAAAAAGAAGACACAAGATATGATGAATTATCAAACGATTGAGTGAAATGAATGAAAAGATTAAGTTAAGCCGCATATATTCATGAATTTAATAATATACTCCGACTATTAAGTCAGAAAACAATTCAACAAGAAAAAAGTCACACGTAATAAAATAGTAATCAATAATAACTTATCTTAACCTGTATCACATAGTACCAATATTCTAATACTGATTGAATTACCGAATGTCCTGCGACGGTCATTCGTTGCAACAAATCCACCTGCTAATTATAAGTTGGGAAATTGCAACTATTCCTGATGTGTGTGGCAGATGACAACAATATTCAGTTCTTTCCTTGGCATGCTATTTCTTAAAAAAGGTTTCAGTCTTGGACGGAAATCAAAGCTCTTCTCGAATTGACAGCGCCATCAGTACGCCTCAAAGATTACTGATGGACATCCTTGTAGTTATTTCGTCGATTACGTAAGTAAGCAGTCTAAACACTGAATAGGGCCCCAATTTGATAGTGTGTCCCAATTTTTTAAACATTTTACATTCCTTTTATATTATGCACACGGTTGTTCTCAAATAATTTTTTGAAATTGAAAATGTTATATTTCATTTTTCTTCATGTTTAGAATACATATGTTTAATATTTATTTATTAGGGGAACTCGTAGCTCAGCTATGCTTACAACTCCTCAAGATATCAATCCGGTCGAGATTACAACTCAGGGAACCAAAGACATATGAAATGTCACCAGATTTTTCGTCTGAAAACCAAATTTTCAGTTCAGATAGTTAGGGATAATTGTGAAATTATTTCAGAAAATAATTTAATTAAGAAAAAGTTTCCATCTAAGATTTCACTTCAACCAATTTCAATTGCATATTTCCTCATCAACACGGTTGACCATCTGTATTTTGTTGGCAATTGTTTTCATTTAAATGAGAGCCACAGTTCAATTGAGGGGGGGTGACGAATCAAGCTAATGGAACATCAAAAGTATTTCGCCAATAATTATATAACTTATTGAAATATTTTCTTATTACGCAAGTCTACCAAACCCGCATTTATATAGCTGTCAATTTCGGAAGCTTAATGAGAACATAAAAATTCATAATAAGGACATGATCTGAATTGTTCTAGTCTTTGTTTACGCAATGTAGCTGCAAAACGGCAATTTTTTAAACAATACGCCCAAAAATAAATTATTAAAATATAGAATTTTAATTGTTGAATTTCTTTTAATAACATACCCCGAATTTCATTTTTTCATATTCAATAAGAATTAATTTTGGATGCTACTGAAAAAGATACCGAAAAAAATGAAAAAAGGATAATATATTTTTATTAGACAGATTCTATAAATTTATGGGGGGGGGGGAGTTGCAAGTTTAAATTTTATGAATGAATGGGTAGATTAAATAAGAAAAAAGGTCATTTGTCTCTTGCGTCGAAGACGGAAGAGAGGAGAGAAGTACCGCATGGGGTTCTGGGAACTTCAGAGGTTGCATAAGCCCACCGCGAATTGGCAGCAGGGCAGAGAAAACATTGTCTACTCTCAGCGAGATCTTGGCATGAGTAACCCATTAGTGCTCTCCGTCTGCCGGTAGTGCCAAAATCAATGTGACGCAGTACTAGAGATGTGTCGTCTTACTTTTTGCCTTGGATGTTCTGTGTGAGTTCAAAAGGTTACGACGAATTTGTTTTTGCATGATGCGCGTCAGCGTTCTGATAAATAGCATATCAGGATATCTGAGAATTGAATTTCAAAAATTGCAAAAGTTTAATATTTTTTAACTTGTACATCTATACTATTGAAGATTGATATTTTTTTAACGAAGCATCGCCTTCAAAATTGAATCTGTAAATAATTTAATTTACATAAAAAATAGTAGTTTTCGTGTAATTTTGAGTAAAATCGAGGAATTTTTCAAAATAATATCAAAACAAGATGTCCTGGAACACTGCTATTTTTATATTCAAATATTTTGTAATGGTAAAGAACATTTCACTAAGTTATATGGTACAGGTGCCGTTTTCATTTTTTAATTAAAAAATATATTTTACTTTTTCGAATCGCTTGCACTTGGTTAATATATTCATTATATAAGTTTTGAAGATGCGTGGCGTCTTAGTTGACGCAACTAATTTTTAAAAAACCTCCTTTAATAAACTTTAAATATATTTTACTGTATCTCTTGCAGTTTCCCGATATTTGAAAAGTTTTTAGGTATAAGTGAGAAAAATGTTTGCATTTTCTAAAACATATCAACTCGAGGTTTTCGAATTTTTATTAAAACATTTTCAAATTAATACAGTAATCTATGATATTCCGTAAACCTGGTTGCAATATACCTAAAACTTTATATCAGGAGACAAAAATTAACAAAAAGTGAAAAAATGAATGAATTTTTTTCAAACATTACATGAAATATCAATCATACAACCTTAAAAACAGGTTTTCGGATTTGCGATGAAACTTGAGTGTTCTTTATGCCTTAATCTACAAAATGAGACCTTGGTGGCAGCTCTCTCTTACATATTTGGAGGTAGGGCACAGAATGTTAGAAATGTTCAAAATTGAAATGTTCAAATGTTCCAGAATGAAGCTATTTATACTTTCGAAATAATGATTTAAAAAATTGGAGTGTGTTTCTTGGTTCTTCTATTACATTTGTGGGTGTTGGGATCTTCTGGGTAGTCTAGATAACCAAGAAAAATTTTATCTGCAACAAGAGCTATTGCTCTTTCCACCCCCGAGAGGTTAGGAAAGAATTTTGTCACAAAAACACTAAAATATAAATACATTTCTAAATTTCTAGCTTAATTTCCAATTGGACATGTGGAGCTTATTTTATATTTATTAAACTATAATTTTACCTGACAGTACTGTAAAGTGGCTTGGCAGTTGGCCTCCTGAGGGGACTTCGAGCAAGTTTGCCTAAGTATACGTACACTAAACCTGTGGGTTCGAAACCCACGTAAGACATGTATGTTTTCAGTTGTTTATGACCTGGAGGACATTCACCCCACTCTCGCTCTCATTCTGAATGTGATTAATGGTTTCTGTTGCGATTACGGTTTGTTGCATTGTTTATTATAGTTGTAATGTAAAACAATAAATATATTCAATGTATTAATTGTGTAACATATGGTAGATCATATTTTAATGAGTTGTTGAAGATAAATTATTTCTAAAATTAGGTATTACTTTACAGTAGAAATGTGAAATAAAAAAAGATTTAGATAGATTCATCATTGAAGATATTAAATGCAGTGGCGTCTCGTCCCGGTTCTAGCAAACTACGAGGCGCATCCAGAAAGAATTGTTCACTAGATCGTGAACAAAAATAAAAAACGGGTTCGTAGGCTTCCGCAGCCGGAGTCAATGCATTCTTGGCTATCCCGGATAGCTATAAATGCAAAAATAAAACACAATTTCATGAAAAAAACTTTATTTTAGCAGATAGAGAATATGTGGAACTATTTTTCCACATGATCACCACAAGAACTGACACTTTTGTCATACCGTGGTATCAACAATTGTATCTCGGTGTCGTAGAAGTCTGCCGCCCGGGATAGGTATCAGTGTTTGACAGCCACTTACGTCACTGCGATACGCGTAAATGAGCGAATAATTACTTCAGATGTAAGAAAAGAATAAATCGTTGGTGGCGGGGGGGGGGTAGGGGCAAGATTCGGTCCATATGGTTTAGTATATTCAGACCTCGCAGCGGAACTGCTGCAGAAAACCTATTGTGAGCCGAGCCGTGAGTGACCGTCCATCCTACAGTCCGAATGGCGCCTGATCCCCCAATCCAGCGGGGAGTGCCACCGGCTCCCGGGAATAACATGTACTACCCTTAGGGGAATAATGGCGTAGATGAAGCGTCCGAAAACAATAATTAACTCTCACAAGCTAATGCACAAAGATGCCGTCTCAACCCATCGTGCATCCGGGCTGCCGTGGCAGCCAAAAGCGGAGAAACGGGAGGGGCGAGCGGCATCGCGAGGCACTGCGCCACACAGCTTGGCGTGCTACTCTACGCGCAATCGTGGACCCGGCGTGAAGTCGGCGCCGGCGCCCGCCACGCCGAGCCACGCCGCGCCGCGCTTTATCAATGGCGCGTCGCCCCATTGACGGCGCCCGCGCCGCCTCCGCCGCCACCGCGCGCCTCCTCGTGGAAAAACAAACTTCACAAAAACGTACGCTGCGCGTAGCACGACCGAGCCGGCGGCGGGCGAGCGGGCGACGAGCGGGAGGGCGATAGAGCGCGGGCTGGGAGATGAGCGAGAGAACGAAGGGAGGAGGAGCGAGGAGGTGGAGGAGGGTGAGGGAACGCGGGCGTGGAGATGAGCGGAATGACGGGAGGACGAACGGACGGAGGAAGAGGTGTGGAGGAGGAGGAGGAAGATTGCGAGGGAGCGCGAGCGGGTAATGCGGGAGGGCGGTGGGAACAGTGGGTGGGCAGCGGGGTGACGGAGAGCGAGCGGGACAAAGAGCAGGAGGATGGGATGAAGATCGGGTGGTGAAGGGAGGGGGCGGGTGGGGGAGGGGAGAGAGGGCAAGGCGCGATAAAGCCTTGTCGCGTGGAACCGACCCAAACGCGCGCCGCGGACGTAGGAGTTCCGGTCGCTGACGCAGGACACAGCGCCTTAAACGCTAGGCGCAGCTAGAAGAGGCCGTTCCACTTACTGCACCTGGCTGGCTGGCGTGTAGCGCGGAATGACTTCACGTCACCACTTCAGTTGCTTCGTCGATGATGGGAAAAACGTATCATTTCTTTCAAAACTTCAAATTCTTAGTAGTAGCACAAAGTGACTATTGATTGTGAGTTATTTTAAAATAAACGAAATTCAAATTATCATTGATACTTTGCTAGAGAAAAAAATGTATTATTTGAGAATATGATAGCTGATTATTAGAAGCTGATCTACACGAATGCCCCCTTTTATTTTCTCATACCTTTGATAACGATTCGTAAATGAGTGAACTCTGCAACATAGTTCGTTATCATAAGAAACTAGAATTTGTATTAAACTTCAATAAAAAAACATGAAAGGGACTATATTTTTCATTGTTGCGATAAAATTACAAGTTTGCGTTCCAACTTGTTTGGGGTTTCTCAGAAGATGATATCGGTGGTGAAAAGTGAATGTGCTGAGTTTAATTCTCAGCACACTGGTACCATTGTGTGGTATGAAAGAGCTTTCCAATGTATGTTAAAACGAAGTATTACTCTTGGATGTAGAAGCTTCATAAAATCAACATTCTTAAATATTATTGCATTGTGAGTGGGATTGATTATTCATCCCAATCGTTCTGAGCGCAAAAAGTCTTTATACAGGAAACTGTTCCTGTATGTATAGCAGCAACACAGCAATTCTGGGTTTGTAAAAACAAAAAAGATGGAAAAATTATTTTATATAATTACCAATACCTCAAAAAGAATAATTAATGAAAAGTTAAGTTTATTTTCTTATTACCTATTTCAATAATACAGCTGAATCCCACTATACTAGCTCACTCTTCAGAAGGAATATCAGTGATCTCTAACACGCAGCCAGTGTTATGGATGAGACGGTGATACAGGATAAAGGTTTGCATAGCTCGTTATATTCTCGCAGAAGCTCAGTCGTGTCTAGGAACACATCATTAAAGGAAATAAAATATGATAATGTACAATTTATAAGATTAAATTATCTCAACTTATATGCTGAATTGCGGAAAATATGGCATCCAGGTTTCTCTGCAGTCTTAAGCGAGAAGGATGATTACCTACTACTACTTTATTCATAAATGAGCAATGTTGATACTTTTATTGTCTTCAGTATTTGTTGTGGGTAAATATATTAATATGACTTATTTAACAGAAATGCAATAAAGAAAATTTCAAAGTTGTGCAAAACAAACACTTTTCCCACTCTTAATGCAGAAAAATTTAATTACTACAAGACGTACCCATAATGAAGGCATGCTCTTGATGATTTTCATCCTTCCTGTCTCCATGTTTCTTCATTTTATCTACGTTCTTGATTTACTTATTAAGTTTTATATGAATAAATTAATGATTGAAATGTGCAAGTATTTTTCCTGCCCCAAAAGGGTATCATGAGAAAATCGGTTTCTTCGATATTGTTTCTATACGTCTACTCCTAAAGTTGACATTATTTGTCTAAATTAATAAACAAAATGGGGTGCGTCATTTTATCGCTGTCTCAAGTCCTTTCTGAGAAGTGTATGACATAGATTCTTGATAAAACT